CTGCAAAGTTTTTAATTGAGGTTTTGGATTATATTAGCCCACACCTGCTTTTTATTTTTAACAGCTCATTATCTACTGGCTGTGTCCTGGTCTACTTCAAGATGGCATGTGTACAACCTGTCTTAAAGAAACCTAGCCTTGACCCCAACATCCTTGATAACTACCGCCCAATCTCTAAACTGCCTTTTCTTTCAAAAACCCTTGAAAAGATAGTTTCTAAGCAGCTCCTTGCTGTAATGGAAAATAATTGTATCTTTGAAAAGTTCCAGTCTGGCTTCCATAAACACCACAGTACTGAGACAGCACTCTTGAAAGTTACTAATGACCTCCTAATGAACGCTGATGCGGGCAAATGTTCAATACTGGTTCTGCTGGATTTAAGTGCGGCCTTTGACACCATTGATCATGGCATCCTGTTAAACAGACTGAGGCAGTGGGTGGGGGTATCTGGTACTGCTCTGAACTGGTTTGCCTCATACTTATCCAATAGGAAGTTTTGTGTCTCTATAAATAATTTTAAATCTTCTTTCTCTACCACCAACTACGGTGCGCCTCAGGGGTCAATCCTTGGACCTATTTTGTTTTCTATATATATGCTCCCTCTGGGTGATATCATACGCAGGCATGCTATCTCCTTCCATTGTTATGCGGATGATACACAGGTATACCTACCTGTACAGCCCACTGACCTTAGTATGCTGAGTTCATTACAGGACTGCCTTACCGACATAAAACATTGGATGTCAAATAATTTCCTACAACTTAACTCCAATAAAACAGAAATCCTGGATAGGGCCCCAACATCTCTGCAATCAAATTCTGCTCTCTTCTGGCTACCTGCTACAACACGTGAAGCCTGTTGCAAGAAATCTTGGCGTGCTATTCGATAGTCAGTTATGCTTTGAGCATCATGTTTCTAAACTGGTCCAGTCCAGCTTTTACCACCTTAGAAATATTGCAAAAATAACTCCTATTTTAAATGTTACAGATGCAGAAACTGTTATACATGCTTTTATCTCCTCACGCATTGATTATTGCAACAGCCTCTTCACTTGCCTTAATCAGAAAACCTTAAATAGATTACAGACCGTACAGAACTCAGCTGCTCGGCTCCTAACTAGGACAAGAAAATATGATCATATCACCCCTGTTTTAGCATCATTGCACTGGCTCCCTGTTTGTTTTAGGATTGATTTTAAGATTTTACTCATTACTTTTAAGGCTATTCACTACTTTATTGTGATCCTTGTTCTTATATTCTGTATTTTACCCCCCTGTATCTTTTACCCACGTGGTTATTTGATTTTGTATTTTATGTGTACACTTTGTACTTGTTTGATAAGTGCTATATAAATAAAGCTTATTATTATTATTATTATTTAACAAGGGGGCACTTACTTTTTCACAGCACTGTATGTATCATATAGTATCGCCATTTTTAAAATCAATTTTAAAATTCCACCCTTCCCCTCTTTCCTGCCACTCTTAAAATAGAAACATGTCCAAAATGTTTTTCCTTTCCTCTGGAAGTTCAACCCTTCCCTTACTGTGGTAAGGTCGTGAGAAAAGGAAATGTTACAACTAAATGTTCAATATCCTATTTAGAACCCTAAAAAGATGTACAATTAAGTGTACTATATATGTACACCTAATTAATAGAACGAGACAAAAATACAAACTATGAGGGTAACAAGAGAGACCCTGAGAGGCTTATGAAAATATCTCTCAGAAAAAAGTGGCCTATTGAAGTAGGGACAAAAAAGAAGAAAAAAAATGATAGGTCCAAAGTCTGTAGTACATAAAAGAATTAGAAATAGCTCAGGCATACACAATGTAATTGTATGGTACAGTGTGTGTGTGTGTGTGTGTGTGTGTGTGTGTGCCTCTGTGTACAGTAACTTCTGTTTTTAGTTTCAATCACTCCACATATTTACAACTTTCATGGCAGACTTTCCCAGCATTGTTTGTGTCCTTCAACTGGAATGACCTTCTGTTTGTTTACTTCCCGTCAACTTCCTGTGACCCAGATGAGAACGAGTGTCTGAACAGCCAGATCTGCGGGGGAGCGTCTTGCCACAACACCCTGGGGAGCTTCCGCTGCCTCTGCCCCACCGGCTTCAACTACGAGCAGACGGGCGGAGGCTGCACAGACGTCAACGAGTGCTCCACCAGCCAGAACCCCTGCAGGTTTGGCTGCTCAAACACAGACGGGGGCTACCTCTGTGGATGTCCGCCAGGACAATTCCGCGCAGGACAAGGGTACGTAAAGTGAATCGAAGTGTAGATCTCTAGATGTTTCTAGTTGACCGATGGCTTTGTGTTTGCTTTTCAGGCACTGTGTCACAGGTCTGGGCTTTACTAGTGGCGGCGGCACCAGTGTTGGACAGGGAGGTCAGGGAGGTGAGGAGGATGATAATTCTCTGTCTCCTGAGGCCTGCTATGAATGTAAAATCAACGGCTATCCCAAGAAGGGACGCAAACGTCGCAGCACCAACTCAACACAGGAGGAACCTCTGGAAGAAGTGCAGGTAATCTTTCTGTAGCTAAGACTGAGGATGCTGAGTCATGTCCTCTTCGTTATTTTAGGGGAACCTGAGGGGACCTAACATTCAACAATTTATATGTTAAACAGGGTAGGTGTTTTATTAGCTGATTCCAGTCATATTTGACTCAGGATGTATAGATTTAACTACGTTCAGGCCAACAAAATAATAAATAGATAAATGACCAAAAAGTATAACTGAACTAATAATAATTGAACAAATAAAATATGACAAAAAGAAAGGTGTTAAAAACCTTCTCTTTGGTTTCTGGCCCAAATCATCTGAGGGTAGTAGGGGATGCATCAACAGAACTCAGGACTTCACTATTGCTAAAATCCTGGCAACAGCCTTGTTTCTATGTACATTTATGATACTGTGCCCTTTTGCCTTGCTTGATTAATGACAGAAAACAAAATGTACTATAGGTCACATTTCTTATAGCCACTGAATTCAGTTGGAACACGTTTTCTTTCTGCAGCTGACTGAGAATGACGTCAGTCTGGCCAGTGTGGACATCGAGGACACACTACAGTTCCACCTGAACATCAGGGACCTGAGCAACCATGACCACATCCTTGAGTTCACCCCAGCCTTATCCACCCTCAGTGACCATGTGCGGTACAGCATTGACTATGGAAATGAAGAAGGCTATTTCAAGATCAATCAGAGAGAGGGTGTCAGCTACTTGCATTTGAGCAAGAAGAAAGCCGTCCCCCCAGGGGCATACGACCTTCAGATCAGCAGTATGCCCCTCTACAGGAAGAAGGAGCTGGTTGAGCTGGAAGACCGACATGATAAAGACTACCTCACAGGACAGCTGGGAGACATACTGAAGATGAGGGTGCAGATCATCCTCCATTAACCATCACAAGACTGAGACAGGCAGATGTTCCCAGCAGCTGCTAATCCAGTGTCAGGCTCACACTTTCCAAAAGGCCAAACATCTCTGACTCTAGATCAGTGGTTAGGGGCAACTTCTGCTTGCTCCAACAGGGAGAAGGGCTCGCCACCAAAGACACAAGGGGGTGGGGGGAGGGACTGCGTCTTTTGATTGCCAAAGATGATTCTACATATCATAGATACAATTTCTGTGGAAAATGCCAGCTGAATGAGGCAGTATGAAAGATTTCAGTCAAATGAAGAGCATATTGCCCTGACACACAATGTCAGCTGTGTATAAAGCACTATTGAGAGTGTGAATGGTTTTTAATTGTAGGGTTTAATGTTGTATGATGATATGTGGAATCAAGTGCCACTTTGAAGGGCATGTGGACTGCAGAAAGCTCTAAAGGCTGAGGGTTTTTTTTTTTAGAACTCACCTTAAGTGGAAGAAAACGGTGAGTCCCAATAGTCTGCAATAAATTCATTTCCTCCCCTCAGGTAAACAACTGAACAAACCTGGATACATGAAAGTAAACACATTTCTCCTTCCCCAGATATTAATTTAATGGAGTGAAGATGAAAAAAGAATGAGAATGGTTAGGAGAGGAAAGGAACCCACTATGGACTATTGAGATGTAGCCATGTCTGAGCTTGAATGACTCCTACTGCATATTTAAACTATGCTTTTCCATCTTTCCTACTGACTAGAATAATTCATATTTACTGGTGCTGGCAACACAACCACATAGACTTCTGAATGCACTGTACTACTATACAAAACTCTGTAGTCAACGAGATACAATCCCATCAGCCATTCTGAAGATTTCATGTCTTTGTAACAGTAACAGCTAGCTTCATAGCCTGTCTGCTCTCCTCTATACTACATGTAAATTGTGTTTATACTGTAATAATCGATGCCACTTTTAATCTATGAAGCATTTGTAAACTAGAGGAAGCCCCTGGAATAGAGGGGTTTGTAATGGTGCTTATAATGACCAACTACTTCCTTTGTAAACTGTGTATACATACACACCTGCGCACGCGCGCGCACACACACACGCACACACACAGACACACACAGACACAGATGATGCCAAACCTGGGCCTTCATGATTATGCACTGAGGTCTTCGTGGCCACACACTCTCACAAGTACAATCAGTGCTGCATTGCCACGGACCAGCCTGACACCAGTCTGTGTTCTCCGTTCACATCAGTGAGGGTTTAGTTGTAAATTCACAATAAAAACATTTTTTGGTGTATATGTATTGACTGCTGTGCATTCGCCATGATGTAGCTTAAATTACTAATGTAACAAAGTTCAACAGCTTCATGATAGATGTCCCTCTTATTCAGGCATGTGCAACGTGAGTTTCTGTAGCTAAAACACTCACATTGCCCCAGTGAATTCAGCCATGGAGCCGAGTTTAATATGTTTTTTCCCCCCACTCTGGCTGAGACGCAATTCTTGTCCTGCACTGCCCCCATGTGGAGATTTGGAAGACTTTCAGGTTCATCTGACAGAACTCAAAAATCAAGAACATGAGGGTGACAGTCCCAGTAAAGACACACTATCCAAAGTACCAAAAAACATTAACTTTATTAGCACCCTATCTATACAGTTTCATCATATACACTCGACTTCTATTGTATTTGGAGCCTTCAGCTGCGTCCAGTTGATCCAAAACCTCCAGCACCACGCTCTGTCTCGTCAAGAGTCTGAAAGAACATAGCAATGTATTTTTTTTTTTTTAAATGTTATGATCTAATCTGATGACATATACATGAACTAAAACCAACTGTAGGGAAGACACACATGCAATGGGAAAAATCTGATCATATTAACCAGGTAAAGTACACTATCAGTTGCCAGTTAATTGGCTACACCTAGCCAAAAGTGCAGTCTGATGCAACAGTCTTGCAAAAGTATCCATGAAAGTTATAATGTTCAGTTTTTATTGAAACAGTTTTAGGTGTTTATTCAAATTATTATTTTGGAGGATCTAGTTTGTGGAGCTATTGAACTGTATTGCGTTATACATGAGGTGTTTCAGTTATTTAGCCCATCATCAATATAAATGAGGACAATATAAATACCTGTCAATATGACAATTCAACAGCACAACATGTAGTGCATCCTTCAAAATGACATAGTTAAACACCTCTTTAAAACAATTTAAACAAAAGCTCATAAGCTTCATGAAGGTAGAATTTATTGTAAACTGTTGTATTAGAGTGCATTACTTTTTGCCAAGTGTACCTAATAAAATGGCAACAGAGTGTGCGTTGTGTTTCTTGCAATTTACCTGTTGCTCCTCCAGATCTGGGTAGCAGATCCTCTCACACACCAGCTGAGCAACTCTGTCACCCTTTTTCACTGGGGAAAAAAAAATGGAAAAGAGACCATTTGTAAATAACACATCTGTACCATAGACTGCATAAAAATCCTCATAATCTTTAGTCTTTATACAGTCTGATTTAGTATGCAATAAGATCTAAACATAACTGGATAGCAAAATATTTGGACTGTTATTAATTCCTACTCATTCATTTAGGAGGTAAAAATTAACATTAAAATCAATTTTATTATTGCTTTTGCTAGTTTTGTGTTCTAAATGGACAGAATTTACACAGTAGGCAGATTCAGTATGTATGTAGCTTAAATATTCAATTTTATTGATATAGCGCTAATTCAACAGTTATCTCATAGCGCTTTATGAGTTTGCTATATGTACCTGTCTTGACTTTAGTGATATTTGCCAGCAAACAGTTGAATCTGATAACCCACCGTGGCATCGGGCGAGTTAAACTCAACATGTTATGCTTACTGTGAATGACACTTTCCCACTGTTGGGAAAACTAGGGTGAATATTTTCACTTCACTTTCAATCATGCTCAACAAGAAGCATGAACAAATGTCTCTACAGTAATGCCTCACCCTTCTTATAAAATCTGAGTTTTATTTCACTGATGCCACTGCTCACCTTCAAATGTGTCCTTGCCGAAGTTAAAGAGCACAACTCCCACATTTCCTCTATAGTCTTCATCTACAACTCCAGCTGAGGACACAGAGGCATTAGAGAAATTAAAATGGCTGACATGACAAGTGTTTAAACATTACCTGTTCATGTCGATTGTCATCATAAGTAGGTTAGTAAAATAAGTTAGAGACTCACCACCAACATCAATGAAATTTTTTGCTGCCAGTCCAGATCTGGGTGCTGAAGAGAAAAAAAAAAAAAAGGAAAGCTATATTTATGGTCTGTTGTTCTGCAACTGGTGTAAAATATTACACCAACAGAAAATGCTGAATTGAATTTAACATTACATGCACTGAGCAAAACTTAACCATATGTAGACATAGGATTGAAAAATTGCATCAGCATGTCCAGCACTCACCCACTCTCCCATAGCAACCATGTGGAACTGCTATCTGGATGTCCGTTTTCACAATGGCCTTATCCATAGGACCAATGGAGTAATTGTATGCACTGTTTAAAGTCAGAAAACTAAGGTTAGCTGGTAGCACTATATTCATTTGATACAGGGTTTTCTACTGTGTACCGTTTAGTAAGTAGATTCAACCTCTTTAGGAACACTAGCTAAATGTTCAGAAACATTTGAAATATAATTTTAACGAATGTTTTGGGGGATTTTTCAAACACATTTGTATTGAGTCGTTAACTTACAGCTTCTGTTAAGAGTAACGTTAACATTTTGTAATCACAGAACTAAAACGTAACATATAACTTCTCTCATTGTCATTAGTAAACCCAGACATAATTTTAATTCAAAGTATTACCAACCTGTAGAGATCATATCCCGCTGCTTTAGCTGAACCTCTGGTAGGTTTTGTAGCATGCTCAGAAAGTTTTGCAAATCTGAGGACAGGTCTTTCCTCTGCAGGCTTCGTTTCTGTCCTTGCCCTCTTTGATGGAGAAATTGCAGGAGCATCTAGGACAGGCATGTTGATAAGATTTTGACAGTTGAAACACTTAAATACACTAAATAATTTATACGGACTAAAGACAAACTATTTAACGTTACTAAGCAGGAGACAGAACAACTGCAAGCTTAAAACCCCACAAGCTTCTGCTCCAGTGTCTTGGCGGTCCTACAATTTGAACCGAATTTCCCGCGGTGGAAGTTGCGCCAAATTAGCTCCTCCTCCTCAAAATCATGAAAGTCAAACATACTTTATTTTACACCCCCAAAACATATAATAAATAACTCAACTAGCTTATATAAGTTGCCACAGAACTGTCATTACATTTCGTGAGAGAAACACATTTTAATAAAATGAAAAAAAGTATACACTGTTCCTATGGCAATTTCGTCACAACAAATGCGCTCTGAAAATGCGTTCTCGCGAGAGTTAACGTTACAGATATAAACAAATGTACATCCGATATAAAAATAAAGGAAACATTTAGAGAATATTAGGCCTCACTGTACTTACGCATTGCATCTGAACCGAGCTGACGTAGTCTTGTGTGTAACATATTAATCAAGGCGGTCATTTACAGCCTATGGTTACAACATGCTAGGCAGGCTAGCAAAGCTAATGTCAATAAGCGCTGAACATATTGCTAATGGTAACGTTATCCATATTATTAATATCTTGCTTGCCTTTGTTTTGAGGGGCCGTCTGATTATGACATTCCCTTCCTATAAAACGCGAAGCAGCATCATAAATCGAAGAGCATTGTGGCTGAAGACCCCTTAGCCTTAGGAACATTCGTGTCATACTGCTTGCTAACGTCGTCTGCAAGCTAATAGCTAACTTGGCGCTAATGTCCTTACAGCTGATTGCGTTCCGCAGGGCTGCACTTCCTGCACTTCCTCCTCCTCCCTCCCAGGGCCGGCCCTGCTGCCTCCTCCTTCTGTCATGCAGCTCCTCACACTACAACAGACTATGGCTGACTCCAGTGTTAAACATAACAGGATGGAAATGAAGATAGAAATCATTTAATTTTATTGTCATTGCACAGTGTAGGCTACAAGTACTGAGACGCTGTTTAGCGTTAAACTAGAAGTGCTTAATGTACATATGTATAGAGGTAATAAACAATATACTCTAACGGGTAGATATGAATTCGCTAAGATACAGTATAAACTGAAGGTATAGTTTAAGTACAAGTAATGACAATAATGCGGCATTATATACAGAATAGGCATAGGTAGACAGGATGTGTGTTGGTCTAGGTAAAACACAAAATACTTTTTTGATGAAATCATATTATTATTATTATTATTATCATTATTATTATTATTATGATGATGATAGAACAGAATCCATATCCAAAAGTCACTCAAAAACAATTCACATAGTTCATTATGTATGACACATTGCCCCTCTGGGATAATAAGGTTACCTTGAACTTGAACTTAATTTAATCATAATATCAACTAGACCTAATGGCTGGGAAAATCCATTCGAATGTGTAGTAAACTAATTTTTAACGATTTTCTCCTGAAATTTATCATCCCCAGAGATTATACAGTCAGAAACTAAATTTTAGCCATGCTACCCCCATTGGGAATAAATTGGCATTGACATTCAGGATGTTGACTATTAGGATTAAAATTCAGTGCTCATATTCAAGAAGTGCATATATGACCTCTAATTCTGAAGACATTTTATAAATTATTTTGGATTAAATAAATCTGTGTCCAAATGACTCTATTTGGCAATATCAGATCTTGTCAGAGCTTCTGCCTTTAAAAGAGGGAAATCATGAAGTCTTTTCTAGTTGTAGTATTTCCTGTACTGCTGGCTAGTTTAAACATTCAAAGTGCATAGACGTTATACTTTTGTTTTGCACATATAAACCTATTCTGTTAAATTAAAAAAAACATCAAAAAAATATAATTAAAAGTCGGCTATAGGTTCACAAAATTAAAAAAGTAAACACTTCAGCTTGATTACCTCTACAAACACAAGCAGGTTCCCCTTCCACTGACACTTTCTCTGGACAAACAATATATGATGTTATCTATTTAATCACCTCGTAAATAACAGAGACAAGAATAAGAATAGCTTTTAATTATTTATTTCAGATAATGATAATTATATCTTTTAAATAGGAAGACAGATACTAGGCTAAAATACACAGACAAATTGGCTTTACAGTCTTTAATTTTATTCAGTTTTGTGAACTGTGATACTAGTAACATTAAGAATATTTTAATAGTATTGCTGTAAACAGCTTTATAATAGCAGTGTATTTTACACTCAGGGAATATCAATGAATGTTTAATAAAGAATAAAACTACTAATACAACAGTTTAAACAACAGATGCTGTTAATCATTCATGAAAAGGTTTTTGCTCAAAATACATCTACTATATACATTTATTTTACAATCACAGCAGCAGGAAACAGTCAGGTTAGTGTAACAAAGCAGCCTTGTATCTCTGTCTGTCTCTGCCTTTGTTCACTGGACTGATCTGACCAAGTTAGGAAGATGTGTGATTTGACTTTGTTCTAACCCCAATTTATGACCATTTGTTTTTATTCTATTTATATAATATTATTCATAAAATAATGAGTATTTTTTCCACACTTGTCCATAGTTTCAAAGAGCCTCAAACTTTGCTGTTAAATTTACATTCAGCCTGTCAGACATTTACAAAGTTCAATGTCAGAAATTCATTTTTCCTTATTTAGACCAGTCTTATTCCTTACTGACAGCATTCACATAAAGAGCAGTGCAGCAGTTAAAAGTTTACGCTGGTACAGTGTAGTACAATGTGAGGTTCCCTTGCTGGCAAGCTGGTTGCAACTTCACAGTAATTGCAAGATCACAGCATGCCCAAGCTATCATGACACAACACATATCAGACAAAGTGATAAAACAGGTTAATGGTAAAATATTAACAAGCTTTATGAATAGTATGAATGTCCTCATCAGGACTAAAATGTTTGTGTTACATTGTGTCTTCATGAACATATCCATCATTATGTTACTATCATTTATTTCCTTTATAGCTACCTGCAAAGCCTGCAAGGCGCTCAGGAGTAGAAAGTAAGCACACTCTTGTGGTTGCCTCTAATGAGTAGGGTGGGTGGAAGGTCCTTTGTCAGAATGTCCAGCCAGGCCATGTAGAGGAAATCAGAAACAGATTCCTTACGAGCAATGGGCATGCTCCTGCGGGTGGTAAGGGGAGAAGATGTTAGACACTGTTCCTTCCCACGCTGGATGAAGCTTGACAGTTCAATATTATTCAGGCAGCAGTTTGTTATACTTACACAATAATCAGATTTGCTGATTTGGAGTTTTCCTGAAGAACCTCATTCAGTCGTACCTGGAGGCTGGTCTATAAAACAGCAGCAGTTATTTTTGCTGTTTAACCCACCACCTCCAAACCAAATAAATACATAATTATGCTGTACAAAAAGTCTTAACTTAGGGCCAGTGTTTTACCTTCTCCTCAAAGGTGCTCAGCTCTTCGTCAGTGATTTTCCAGGGCTGATCCCTCCGCATGGCTTCAGCCTGAGCATGGTCTTTAGACTCCTCATGTAGGCGGAAAGGCTCAATCATGTCCTCTAACTTTTTCAAGCTGGAGGAAAGCAGATAAGAACATGAACTGAATGTGGATAATATTTTTATTTATTTATCATAGGCTATATAATGCATATATGCAGATACTATGAAGTGATTACATTTACATTTACATTTACTCATTTGGCAGACGCTTTTATCCAAAGCGACTTACATTTGAGGAACAACATACAAGCATCAACAGAGGATCAACTACAGATCTACAACTGACAATACATACTAGCAAGAGCAGCAATAAATACTAGTAAGAGCTCACAGTACATATCATATCAATGGGGTAAATACCTAGGGAAGGAAGTAAGAGTTAACAAAACGTGCAATCAAAACAAAAAGTGCAATCAATACAAGATCATTGTAGGGGATAGAAGAAGAAGAGCACAGGAAGTGCATGTTAGAGGTTAGGAGTTAGAGGTGTTATAAGAGGAAGTGTTCTCGATTAAATGTTAATACTCCTGTCTGTTGCACCATCTGGTCTGCTGTCACTGTTATAACATAAAAGAATGTAATTACCTGTCAGAGCGGGGTTGGACATGGATGTCATCAATGACATTAATGTCACTGCAGTTAATTCTGAATTTCTGCAACAGAGACTTCATCCTGCAAGACAGATTATCACACACTGCTTAACTTTCATATAAATGTTGGTAATTATTTTCATTTAATGCTAAATAACATATCCTGTAATGTGATGTTGTTGGCTCATTAATTTTCATATATGGATTTTGCCAATTAATTTGTCCAAGCTAACTCCCACCCATTAAGCTATAATTGATATTGAAACATCAATTTGTTTTTTTTTTACTCACTCATCTTTATCCAGCTCACTGCGTCCAGGCTGCCCTGCGATGAAGATCCTTAATTTGCTGTCTTTCCACTTCTTCCTGGTAGTGAGGATGTACGGGAGTAGCAGGGTAAGGCCTAAGAGAGGGGAAATGCATTTGTTATTGTAAAAACAATTAATCCAGTCTGTTTTATTATATAAATGGACAGATCAAGCTTCGGCCAGGATACAATTGATTAGATTTTGGTTGTGATCCAGATCTCGCATTTCTGCTATTAGACTATTAATATTGTCCAGTAACAAATCAATAGACTTGATTTTAAAAGTCATGATTAGATTTTAAGACATTATTATTAAATAATAATTCTTAAGAATGTAATCTTTGTGTATGACATAATGTAGATGACTGTTCAGTGTTGATTTTTCTGGGTTTGCATTAATGACTTCCTGTTTACCATCTTTTGTCTCCCTTTTGTGTGTTTTAAATTATTGTTCAGGTGTAATTTATTTTACTTAGTGAGTTTTCTTCAATCTGCAGGTTATCTGTATTAGTATCAGGGAGAATGTATTGTGTCCCTGTGCACTCATCTGACACAATCTATAGGCGAGGTACATGAGAGAATGCTGCTTAAGGGACCCAACACCTACCTCCATCGTCAAACAGCCACCACACATCAATGGTGCCTTTAGGCTGTTTCTTCTTGAATTGAGCACTGGCCTCCAACAGCCTCTCATTCATCTTGGCAACCTGCGGGGGTGGAGGGCCGCAGACTGATACTGAAAAGAGAAAAAGATACGGGAAATAAGTACTGGATGAGGGAGAGGAACAGTAGGAGAGAATGTAATTCATTGACCAAGCGTGGAGAGTTAAGTTGGATGGGAAAACTGGCGCAAATCAACATTAAGAGCTGACTCTACATCAGCAGGAACAGCCATCTCTTAGGTTTAATGTTCCAATGAGTGGGATCCAGATTGCATACTAATGACCATTGCAGTCTTGCCAAGATGCAGCTCAGTGGTGTGTGTGTGTGTAATGTAGAGACAGAGACAGATTGAGTAAGAGGCTGCAAGCACCCTCTGCTGTCTGGGTTAGAGGGCTGCTCTTAAGAGATGCTCTTCAAACTGGAACGAAAGGGACCATATTATTGGATTACACCCTCAAAGACTTTTTTAGTGTGAGTGCTTGATTCAATTATAGCTCAATGGGACTGTGGAGAAGTTTCCAAAAAAAAGATGTGTGTCATTGATTTCATTTGTTAAATGTGTGTTATCTCAGAGGAAATATGAGTGCAAGAGAGGACTAGAATGAGAGAAATACCTCCTTCCCCCACATATTTAAAGATCATGCTCATCTTGTGATGCTACCTTTGCTTGAAATAGCTTAGACTGAAGTCTTTCTGAAGGTAGTTAAGAAGTTAACACAAAAAACTCTAGAGAGATACCCCTGGTCGTGAGCACTTGCTGAGAGGGTTTCCTGGACTTCCTGAAAAGTCCTCTTGCTTTCTCTCCATTCGGCATCATCTCATCTTCTACTGCCTGTTGCTCCCTTGCTGCCTTTAGCATCTCCTCTGAAAGACAGAATCAGATTTACGTTTGATAATAAATATGTAATCACTATGAATATGTGTAACTATCTGACCTTTATAAGTACTTTGTAATCAACAGAACAAAGTGTCCATGGCTTATTGGTGTTATTTTATCATAGTCAGTTACTGTGGTTATTATACACTATAGCAACAGTGCAGTTTGATAATTACTTTTGTTATTCTTTCGGTAGTTTAAAACCGTCAAAATTAATGGGAAGTTAGTTCAGTTTGACTGACTACTCTGTATTTTAATATCTTAAAACACATTTACAAATGGCATTTTTTTGTTCATTTTTTCCTTCATTGTGAGTATACATCCATCTTATATCATCCTATATTTAATGCTGCTGTTTTAGGTGCCAGTTGCTTCTTGTCATTGTGCAGCTTGCGTGAAAAGTATTATATAAACATAATTGTTGCCATACGGGTGCAGGTGTTCCTGTAGAACAAAACACATAGTTTAAAGAAGTTTACACACAGACCTTCTGCCTCGACAATGTGCGACACATCAAGTCCCTGGTTCATCCTCAGCACCACTGTCCCATGCTCAAAGTCAAATGCATCACTATCAAAAAGGAAAAAAGAATGAGGACACCAGTTTAACACACAGTTCTCCTATCTTTGTTTTAATTGTTAAGTACATGATTGTCATGTGTGTTTATCTTACTGCAGTATTCCCACATAACTCTGCACCGCTTCTGTGCCTGCAGTCCTCCAGTTCCCCTTGAAGCCTATCATTATTGTGTTAGGCTTCATACGGCCAAGACCAGAAGCCTGTAAGGAAAAGCACCACATTCATAACATAAAGATAAAACCCAGTTTACCCTCTAGAAATCAGTTCAGTGAATCAACATAGGCACCATGTTACCCTGCAGTTAGAAAACGGGGTCTTATTAAGTGGAGAAGAAGAATCTCCAGATAGTTTCCTATACAAGAAGTTGTTTTTACTGCCAAAAATTATGACCAGATCACTCAGCAGACCTCAATTTGTCTGCAGGGACTCATTCAGCGCAGTGTTAATCAATTATAGCTTTTAATCTGCCGTGCTGTTTGAAGTAAGCAATCCTGACAATGAACCGAGGCCTTATCTCAAAAGTGCGATAGCCAGAGCCATAAGACTGTTTTCCTGCTCCTCTAACTCTCTCCTCTTCAACCTCCTGCACTAATGTCCTGCCAGATTCATAAGAAAAGTTCAAGCCAGAGTCATAACACAGCAATAGATAACTCGGTGTTGTGAGGAAGAAATGGAACAATAAAACCTGTTTCTGCAATGTTTAAATCTGCTGTCTCCCTCTTTTCAAAATCAATGGAATTTTGATTTTTAGTTGGTTTCTTTTTTATTTCTTTTCAGTTGAAAAAATGTTTTGTAAAGCATGACAACACTGACCTGCAACAGGCTCTTAGCCCCATCCCTGAAGTTCTCACCAACCACAGCAGCGTAAAATGCCTTGCGTTTGGCCTTTAAAAGCCACATCTGGTTCTTCTCTATGCCATTGTTCATCTCCTTCAGGGCCTCTGACCTTGGGCCCTGAAGAGATCACAACATTACAGCTGTGTGTGAGTGTGTTTGAGAGAGAAAGAAATCACAGATACACCTTTTTCATATTCAGAGGACACAACTGAACCTAAGCTTTAGTCTCTTGGGTATCCAGACAGTTGGCATTTCCCTTATCCTTGCTTGATATTCACTTGAATATCCACTGAAGTCTGCACTCTGCAAAATTTAAATTTGCTTGATGTGCAAATCTTGATTTGAATACAAGGTTGATATTTAAAATAAGATTTGGGTAAGACGATACGTGCTGCCTTGGTAATATCCATTGTTTTGCATTTGCAAATTATGAGATTACAATATAACCTTACCAAAAATACTTCACAGGTGAGACAGAGTCCATAGTTCTTAGAGAAGGAGTGAGCCAGGTCTAGGAGAGCTGGTCTGGTCCGTGCTGAACCAGTCAGTGCTAAGATCTGAGGCCTACGAAATAAATGGGAGTAAGTTACAATATCACTTTTGATTTTAGTGTTTCAGTTTTTTATGTCACACTGTTAAGGACAGTATTGTAAAAGTTTTACAGTATTGTTTTGAAATATGTATTTGCACCCACATTGATTCAATGCAGACTTTTACCTGAAGTTCTTGACATGATCTTCTACAGCAGACAGAGACAGAGCATTGCTGACTGCACTCACAAATGTCACCGCCTGCGTGGAGGAACCCCAGTTCACATCTGGAGAGAAAATTAGAGTCCTGACAGGTTTGTTCATGCAGGCATTGGGAATTTCCTACCAAATTAGCAAGCATGTACATAGAGCTCACCTGGCTTCTTGACAGTGACATAAACGTAGAGGAGGATTTCAATGCCATATGTGAGTAGAGCAGCCCACCAGTTGATAACAAACATAACAACACAGCAGAGCAATGCACCCAACAGCGATAACCACATGTTGTAGTATTTATATGCTGGTCTCCAGCCTGGGAAATGACAGAAGTAACTGCAGAGTGTTGGACAAGTGGTAGGAAACATACTGTACAGAAATAAAATCTATTAACAGTGACTTACTTTGAATTTAAAACAAATCCAAATCTATTTAATTAATGTAACTCAGTTTATCCTATATCAGGTGCTTTTGTGATACCGCCTTGTTTTAATGTATTCACAGTCACTTATACCACAGTAATTCCCCAAAAGCCTACTGGCAGAATTTTTCATTTATAAGCTACTTTGTCTGTAAAGACCCACCTGGAGACTTGGCATAGGATGCATGAAAACAGGAGAAATTGATGAGCGCATAAGATGCCAGGAAGAAGTTTGAGATGATAGGAGCGATGGTGTTGAGATTACCTACAGAGAAAAACCTCAATCAAATTGGAATTCAGGATCAATGCATTTTTTGCTGACTGGACAACAGTAAACAGCCCATTCGGATATTTGTTCATTTGAAGCCTAAAGTACATTTTAAGAAAAAGTATAACATTTTAGTTCTTATAAAGATGTTACAATGCTATGACAAGGCCATTATAGACAATTGAACTGACCGATGAGAATGAAAGCCACAGAAATAATGAACGTGAGGACATATCCACGTATTGGCTCGTTGTTTTTGCCATGTCCCTTGGCAAAGAAGTGCAGGATCTTGTAGATGTTGTCTTTACACAGTGCCTTATTAAAGACAGAGCTTAACTTAGAATTTCTATGTTTTATTAATTGTATATTAGTGCAATGCATTTAGAAAAATGTGGCGTGTTACTGACTTGGAAGACTTTGGGAGCACTGACAAGTGAAGCCAGGGCTGATGAAAGGGTGGCTGAGAACGTTCCAGCAATGATGAGGGGACCAAACCCAGATACCATGGTCATCACCTGAACCGGAGTCAAGGAGAGAAGACCATTACAGATGAAAAAAAGCTATTCATCTGTGAGGATCAGAGTTTGAAAGGCTGCATACCTGATTGTTGTTAATCAAGCCAAATTTGCATGTTTCTACTGCACAGGAAGAGAAATTATAGCCGAGCTCACAAGCAGCTACTGCTGAACCAGTACATGGTGCTCCAGCAGGACTAATGAGGTCAGTCGTGTTTCCTGTGGCATCTCGGACAACAGTGGCGGCTGACCAATTAGAAAGAGGAACAGAAGCATTGCTTAGGATTTTTTTATGAAAAGTCTAACAACCTCACAGAAATACTAAATATTCCGAACTGAAGAAGTCTCTTGGATGAGAGACGAAACGTGTTTGAGTATCTTCAACCAAGACCAGTTGCCCTTGATTTTAACCTTCCTTGGATAAATATTCCAGTGTTTGGATGTGTCATCAAGACAAATGCTAGTTGAGAAAACCTATCCCTGTATTTATCAGAATCTGTGAAAGGAACACCAGATAACTCCAGTAAAGTAGTATTTCTAAATGAAACACAAACATAAAATTAGCAAAGCTTCTCGTTGGAGTTGTATTTCAAGGATTACTGTACTTACAGACACAAAGGGCCACAGCCAGGTAGGTGAGACCAGTTATCAGGATGGCCAGCAAGGTACCTTTAGGTATGGCTCCCTGAGGATCCTATAAAACAACAGATGGATCTGAACATGTCATTTTCAAAACATGACAGTGACTATGAAGAAAACTGTTTGTTTAGTAAAGACATTTTTGACATTAAAGTAAAAAAGCTTCGGTACATTGACATTATTCACTCAAATGCAGTGGTTTATTATTCTTCCTTCAGCCTCTTTGTTAAAAAACCTGTGTACCATAGCAGCTAATGCATTCTATGCATGACTCCTATGCAATGACCTCGGTATGAAAAAGTTACCCGTAAGTCTCCAGAGATGTTGGCTCCAGCCAGGATCCCGGTCGCAGCAGGGAAAAAGATGGCAAACACTGAAAAAAATGTCTCACCCTCTCGAAAATCTGGAGTAAAATTCTCTGAGAAGATTTTCGCTGTGAGAAAAAGAGTGAGAGAGGGAAGAAAGACGAGAGGCAGGAAGAAAATTTGGGTTTACTGTGCTTTTCTGAACGAGTCAATCTTAATTTTTCAGTTAAATAATGTTTTTTTTTGTAATAAAGTGTGCACTGGTTTAGAGAGGGTGCCTTACGGTGATAATTAAAGATGCCTTTAGATTTCTGAGCCTCGGTTGCAGGAATGACTGTTCCTACAAATACATTCACTATGGCCACCAGCAAGATGACGAGTAGAACAATCTGTGCCTATGGGGACAAAACAATTAATTCATTAATTAAAGTTATGGTTAGAAGTTTTAGCATAATAACCCCTGAGATTGGCAAACAACAAGCATAATATTCATTTCTCACCTTGGCCTCCCATTCCATTCCAGCAACTGATATGGCCAACAGCAACACCACTGTAATACACCCAACGATTCTGATGTCATTTATTTCATCCACCATGATGGCATCGTTATCCTGAGGGCAACAGATAGGGCCAAAGAGGGATGGATAAGTGTAAAGTCAACATCTTGGAATGGGACATTTCCACAATTCCTTCTAGTCATAACATAACATAACATCACACACCTTGAGCAACTCGACCACGGTCTCAGCAAATCCCACAACATACATGGCTACAGCCACTGCATTGGCAAAGGCAAAAATTAGGCCAATCGACCCACCAAACTCTGGTCCCAAACTGCGAGATATCAAGTAGTAGGCTCCTCCTGAAAATTACAAAATGAAGCACACATACATACAGTAATGGATGATTAATCCTAACCTAATCACTCATTCATTGATTTAATGTCAGGACAAGTGAAGTAGGCTGTAAAACGGAGACAAGGCTTCAAAAGGTGACTTTCAGGTGCAGTTTTGCCTTGTGTCTTTATCTACACAAACTGCCCTCTTGCCCATTCCATTCTCTCAGTAAAATATTTCATGTCATTATATGTCATGTTTTATGAGTGTGTGTTATCTCAGGCTACATACATTTATAAATAATGTTTAAACTGTTGGTGCCAGCTGCAGTGGCTCTATTGTATGAGTGTCTGTTATGCGTGAAAGGTTGAATTCCAAACGTTTCTGTTCATGAAATGTCTTGTCTTACCTCCTCTGACCACGCCATTGGTACAAATGGCAGACATGGAAAGGCCAGTGATGGTGGTGACCACGCAGCTGAGAAGAACAATCACAATCCCCAGACCTGCAGTGTACACATATAATATAATAATAAATATAATATAATAATTGTTTTTCAACTACAACTTATTCAGGTATTATATTTAAGTGGTTGATCATAAAACTTTCTGAAAAGAGTGTCAAATTCCCAGAGAAACTTGGGGGCTATAAGTTACAGCCGTCTACTGTACCTGCTGTACCTGCTCTGCCTGCTGCCTGCGGCTTGTTTAAAACTATTATGTTACGCTGCCTCAACAAAAGCTGCTGCAGATAGATAGGTTCCTAAGCAATGAACACACTCATGAAGCCATTCATACCATTTCTCCTTTCTCTCTGCCTTTGCTCACACACTGCTCATAGAGGTTTGGCTTTCAGAAAAGACCTTCTGCAAATTTAGATAATTATGGGCTACTTCAGTTGAATCTGCCCCAATTCAATCACTCCCTGCTAATGAGGGGAGGGATATATAATCCTATATAATTGTCTCTAGTTCCTTTATTTATTTATTCAGGAAATCCCTTGAGATTCAATTCTCTTTTTCGAGGGAGACCTGGCCAAGATAGCACACTATTATGGTCTTGAACCTCTGGTAACACAGAGGATCTGTCTACTGTTCACTCCAGACAACATTATCAACCTGAAAATAACTGGATAATCATCTTTGAGTTCACTGATGGAGTGGGGATGGACTGACTTGTCTCAATCAAGTCAAGTCAAGTTGACCTGTATTACATAAAAAATTTAGTGGGCTTTTAAAAGGCATACATCTAAAAAAACTAGAGCACAAATAAAGGGTAGAAGGTAGCCACAGGTAGAAAATAGTAATTACAAACAAGTGTACAGATGTAACGTGTGCAAAACACAACTATGTACTCAAGGACTATCCCTGTGTGTCACATCTGACCAACATGTATCCTTCTCTCACTCACCCCAGCCTGCCTGGCCAAAAATCCAGGATAGACGGATGAACAACATGACACCCCAGATGTTCAGCATGCATCTCACCTGTGGAAGAGAACAATTTAAGTTCAAAGTCTTCAGTGTGGGTTGTGATATACTATTATGTGATAGAAAGCGAGGGAAGTGTACTCGAACATGAAAATGTTATAACCTGAGTTTCCATTTCAGTGACAAACCAAAACATCTGTAACTCAATTACAAAACTTTATTTTAAGTACTAAAAAGCACTAAACAACAGTTGAGGTCTTTTTTTGGTCAGCATGCCAGTTCTTGAGCAGATGCAAACCACTTCCAGACTCTGGTCTTGAAAGCCCCTTGGGCCTGCTGTGTTATTGAGACAGATGGAGCCTCTTTTTGCCATGTTCCAGTTATGTAGAGCGACCCTGCTTCTATAAAGCAGAGGGAGACCGTCATGACCCAACATAACTTACCAGGACGCCCCTTATCCAGCCAAACTTTACTGCTCCATTGTTGCTGTCAGTGGGAACTGCAGACTCCAGATCATCAGAGGGGGTACCGTCACTCCCCTTGTCATCGTCCTCCACAGTGTCTGGCACAGAGATCGCTCCATTCTATGAGGAAATTGTAGAAGCAAATATAAGGGAAAGGAAACATGTATATTTGTCTTAATGCACATAAGTCCTGTGCTTTTAGCATTTTCAATGTTAATGTGTCTTAATGTTAAAGAGTGTCATCATTTACAAGCTGTGGCCTATGGTACAAAGTGTTTTCTGTCCTCTCATGAGGATACGCAGACTTTCATGTATTTTCATGTAGCATCGTGTATTTGGCCTTATTCCGCCTTCCCTGTAATACAGGAGAGACACTTAGAGAGGGAGAGAAAACCACTGTGGTTTGATTTAGATGAAGATTGATAAGGTGACAATAAAGAAAAAATAAAGACAATACACTGCTGTGTGTCTATCCCTGTAAACTGAAGACAAACCTAATTTAAACTTTCTATTAAGATGAATACTGACTGTTAAATGACTTGAGACCTCTCAGATACATTTCACTTCCCTTTACTAAAAGAGATTTTGGCAGCCTGTAAGTTGCAGTGGCATGGGGTTTGTGAAAACTGCAAATTATCCTAGTGAGTGATTCAAATGTTACTAGACTGAACTTAGACTAATTTAACCATGTAACTTTGTATGACCCGTGACCCTGTACGCAGGATAAGCGGTTGACGATGGATGGATGGATGGAACTTTGTATTCATTAATTTCTATATTAAATGTATTATAGACTCAAACTATGAGTCAGCTGTATTTAGTCTTCCCTGATGAATTTGGGGATTCTTACATGTATCACTGGTTCCCCGTGAAACATTTTAAGATCTTTCTATCAAGATGCCGATGACTGGGTGACAGATGACCTTACACATTCAAACTATAGCTTAAACTTGAATGACTGTAATTTTATGCCAGGTAAGATAACCAAAAGAACTGTCTTCTTTTGGCAGTTCAGACATGCTAATCTAGTTCAACCTATACAACCCAAATGACCTATGACCCCCATCTCTTTTGCAACACAAGGCAGTATAATGGCCCAATAAAAAGCAAAACTATTAACAGTGTCAAGTGTGTTGATTGCTGTTGTGTTCCAGAAATAACTTTCGGTGTCCCTTTTAGTCTGACAAAGATTTAATGACTGAACTGTGGAGACTGAAAGTGATGATGTTTGAATGATTAAACAACTGTGAAATATCTTATTTCATTCTGCTTTGAGTCTTAAACCTGAGTGAATGGACTGTGTTGCTCAGGAGCAGAACAAAGACTGCAGTTACAGAGTCAGTGACTTGAATTTGGGACTCAGGGAGAAAAACAGGTGTAAGCTACTTTCTGCAGAAGGTGAAGTGAAGGACAAACATGCATAACAGAAAAGGAAAAGGTGTGCACCCCATGTATTACAGGGAAAACAGAAAAACAAGAGGAGAACATAAGTGCAGAAGATGTGTTTCTTTCATATTTACCATCTTCACTTACAAACATACATGCACTCACTTTCTGAAACACATCGTGGAGCTCCTGCAGGGATGGTCGCACAGCTCGATGACCACTCACACTGCCTGCATTGCGATAGAAGTCGATGTTGGGCACCCGATCCAAAGTGTCATGACCAAAGGCACTGACAACCGAGGGCCGGACCGTCCGGTGTTCCCCATTAGGAAAGTTGGTCTCCTCATAGACAGGAGGTTCATCCAGAGTGGAATCATAAGCAGAGTTAACATGTACCCCTCCGTAAGACTTGAACCTCTCCATCAGGAATGCTGAAGGAGATTCTCAGATTTAAACAGTCAAGGATAACAGCGTTGTAGGTCTTAAGTCATCCAACAAAATTTAAAAGAGAGGATCACTCCATCAACAGGGGTGGTTATCCTTGTTAATTGATGTATAGACTAGCCTAGGATTAGATTTATAGAGATCTCTTCTCTGAGCTTCTTGAGCATAAGCTTGATTTGTCTCAGATGACCTACCTTTATACCCTGCATCCCAGGGTCATACAGTGGTGGCCAGCTATTGGCTAACTCTTTGGATCAACCCTCAGAAAACTGAAAGAGGGGTGTCAGATATGTCCTTGCTCCATCCTAGGGGACACAAAGGCATTGCTTAACGATTAACCAAGTCATAAACGCCAAACAAGAGATAAAGACGCTCATTGCTTAAGTTCTGGAGAATTGATTAATAATATATTCTTACGTGGGGCAACAGCACATATTGTTCTGTGGTTGCAGCGTATGGGATCAGACCTATGGGTCCTTTGTATAAATCATAAGGAAACATCAACATTGAAGATCCCACCACAAGAAAGCTCACTTAACCAAGCAGGAAAAGTTTCAAGGTTACAGACACTATTAAGATGTGTATGACTGTGGCAGAAAAATATAAAGCTATGTGATATATAATATAAAGCAATAGGATATAATGAATAGAACTAGTGTGTTACAGTGACTAAAATACTGAGTTATATAACTGATTAAATAAATGTTATCTCTAATGATTCTCTTTGCTACAACTAAGAGGGAAAGTTGGTGAGTTGGCTAGCACAGAAAAAAATGGCCATATTTTAATGAGGAAAATTAGAGTTAATATGAGACCATGAATTACAGGAACATGCTGGAGGCACTTTTCTATAGCCACATGACTTCTAAAGTGCCTTTAAAAGTCCTCTTAACAGGTAAACTTCCTTATTACTGATACACCACAGTGATTTATGCACACAGTGAAAGGCAGGCTAATGACTCGAACCTGACCTTGGCTGTATTGCAGGCTGTGAAAAATACACCACAATGTGTTTTCATGTGCCGATTGAAAGGAAGCAATGAATTGCACAGTGTTTATCAGATTTGGAACACAGTTTTAAAAGTCGTTATGATTTTATACAAGAATGATACTGGCTGAGTACTCTCCTCTCACTTATCTGTCTTAATCAGACTGCAATATGTCATTTTAACTGATAATTATAATATTAATCCTCAGCTTAGTGATGCTTGTTCATTGTCAGATTTAAAGTTTATTTTGAGTTTAGAGCCAGGTCTTGTCTCATGCTACACTGCAGTTGCCTTAGTGCAGACCCTGCTGACTCTCCCACAGTGTGGACTTATTAAGGTGTTTAATTTTTTACTGTCTGGGCTGATAGTCTTTTGTCTGCTCTACTTGAGTAAATTGAGTATACAGTGCTACTCAAAGAACTGTTGAACCTATATGATGAGTCAGTGGCAGAAAGTGCACATGCTCCAATTTATACAGGACAAGGGAATCTGCGCTCTACTTAATGTCAAAGGACTCAAAAGAGGCAGAAAAAGGATTTATCAACCCTTGCTTCACTGCAATGTGAAATAAGTGATTAAGAGCAAAAGTGCAGATACAGAAACAGACAGGATTCCTGATACTACATCTTAAATGGGTGTAATAAATGAAGGTGTATTCGTGAACCCTATTGCTCATCTCAGCTATATACTGTATACTCCAGTCAGCATAGGCCTTCTAATTAAATCTATCCATCAGAAACAAAAAGAATCATCTTCAATCTAACATTGTCTATTACTTTGTGAAATGTATTGAACATGTCATACATGGATGTATGGGATTCATTCTATCAAGTGATTTCATTAGGTTACAAATGAGAGCGGTTAAGGTAAGATCTAACAAGAAGGATCCTTGGGTGGTGGGTTAATAGCTGCTCTGTGCTATAATCCTACAGAAACCAAATCCAAATAAAAATTGAAGAAGTGTAATACTAATTAACTAAGCTTGATCCCACTTGGTTTAGTGTTCCATTTGAACGTTAAAATCGAAAAAATCTAATATTTCTTATTTGATATTTATTTAAAAGAAACATTAACCTGCACAAAACAAACAAATATCGAAGAACAGAGTATTAGTTCATAGTAAAGCACGGTTTTGAATCAATTAAAAGTAGATCATTAAACATAACAGCTTTATAATCATTAATAACTGGTAGGTAATCATTGACCTATTCATCTATACAGGCTTTTAGTGCTTTTCAACGTGGTTGTGTCTAAAATCCAACACAGCCTTGGCTCAGCCTTCATCTGACATGAGGGCTTTGACTTAAGAATTCAAGTTGGCTCCAGCTCATTTCAGAACACAAGGCAACCAGTGTAGGCATTTGAGGAGGGATACACATTCCTGTCACTTCGGTCAATATCTGTGTCAGCAGCCATATCCAAATGATCCAAACTATAAGGCTAAAGCAAAGCAAAAACTGACATATGAAAATACAATGCAAAGCAGATACCTTTGTTGAACTTTAATAGATTTATAATCAATTTATAATCATTGTCACTAGATGGGTTAGTTTTTTCTCCTAAGGTTTAATGGTAAATGGACTGTACTTTGACAACTCAAAGCGCTTTACACTACACGTCACATTCACCCCATTCATACACATTCATACACTGATGGCAAAGGCTAACACTCCAGGTGCCAACTGGTCATCAGAAAATAACTAGTTATGTACACACACTCACACACCGATGGCACACCATCGGGAGCAATTTGGGGTTCAGCATATTACCCAATGACACTTCTGTGGACTGGAATAACCTGGGGATCAAACTGCTGATCTTCCAGCTCTAGCTATAAGCCACACCTGCCCCATAGTTAGTAAATAGTTACTTAGTGGGCTTGTAGGCTGGAGAGGAAAAAGGCTGTGTTTTTTCCCCACTAAAAATAGATTCCAAATAAGGATACCAGATAGGTGACAGAGATGATAGTAAAATAATGATTGCATTCCTGATGAATGATGTGTGTTGAGGTAGGCGTGCGTGGTGGCCTGGCCTCTGAGTTTTTAAGTGGCCACAGGAGGGTGGTGGGCTTTGCAGATCAAGACCTGCCATATCGCCACATGGATGCCTATGTAAATCATTTTCTGCTGCTGCATCAGCCCCTCTCTCTGGACCATGCACGTACATATACACACATCATAAGAATGAGAATCTACTCCCACTAGTGTTACTGTATTGTTAAAATTTTTGATCGCCTTTTCTTTCAGTATTGCTCTAATGCACCCATTTGCTCCCTCTCTGTCTGTTGCCGCAGCAATACTGGACCACTACTGCCAGAGTTTCGAAGCAGAGAAGACAAAAATCAGAAGGAATTTTTAGCTTCCACTATGTGCCAATTTGTAAAAGTGATCTTGCAAATTATTTATTTTATTCAATATGCTCAGCAGATTGCAATAAGAGACCAAAAAAATGCAAAGATTTGACCAATTTTAAAGTGAAGAAATTCTATTTATTTCACATTATTGAATCAAATCTATATCATTGAGAAATCTCTACCACCAACTGAGCAAGCAACAGGTCAGGGGATGCACTATCTGTCATCATGATATGCCACACACACACACACACACACACACACACACACACACACACACACACACACACACACACACACACACACACACACACACAAACAGGTGCTCTAATGTTTCTAGATGAAGGCACATAAACCCATTGAAGGTCACAGTAAGGCAGATTCACAGCACTAAGGAGAAACCGTAGACCGTTAGAATTAGCAAAGGAACACTCAAGACTATGACCAGTCTGCAGTATTACAGAATCTCTCTTTAGGACTGTCCTGTCTTCCGCTGTCTGGAAGGAAGAGAGCGGGTGAGAAAGGGTGAGGATGGCTGAGGATAGGAGAAAAAGATGTCCACGTGCAGTGCTGACAGACATCCCACCCCTGTTTTCCATGTGACCTTTTCCTCTGCAGACAGGTAGTGAGAGTTTATCCTTGTCATTAGAAAAACTAGCAGCGCTGAGAGAGTGAGAGCGCTGAATCCTCATTTCCCTTCAATGTTCTTTGGCTTGACCACATCAGCCAACAGTAAGCACAGAACGCTTGACAATTGTCAGTCCATAAATCAACATTATCATATGTCTTTGCAGACATACTGTCGAAAGTAAACAGTTTTTCCTTTCACTCAGACATGTAATTGTGGCAACATACAGTATCACTCAAAGACAGTAGCAGTACAAACTCTTAGAGTTGTTTTTGCATCATTAAGAAACAGTAACACCATAATGTAAATCACAGTTTGTTCAGTTGCCTTTCATTGCATGATTTCAAAAAACAAGACGCCAAAGAAAGGACCAATCTGTACACACAGCAGTAACAGCAGCAACAGCATTCCTTTGGATCGCCAACATACTGGATTTAATTAGTCCACAAAGCACTAGTTTGACATAATACCCTGTATCCAACCATATGCATTCTTGTGCAGAACAGCTCTGCTGTGCATTGGTGCAACCACTCTGTTTCCCATTCTAAGTTCACATAAGGATTCATGTCCCTGAGTCTTCACACTACATCTGAATCATCTCACTGCATCCAAATTCCCCACCCTGTCCTGCGTGCATCCACATCTTAACACCTCGTATCATCTACAGATATTCAACTTGTATGGGTTAAAGGGAGCTTCAGCCATTTACGTATAAATCGATGAGCTGAAATGCACCCCCCCTGGCAGAAGGGCAGAATATGATACAGCATCCGTTTCACACTCGCTCAGACACACACAAAACAACAGACATGTAGTCACATACAGTAGAGAGACTCTACACTGGCTCTGAACTAACAGCGCACACACAGTGAACAACATACACAGCAACAATCCCTTAGTTCGGTCCATCACAGAGCGATGTCTTAATGTTATGTCAGTGTCAGGTGCAATGGTTGTGCAGGGCTGTGGCCTGTGTGTGTTTGCATGTGTGCAAGTGTATTCATGCCCGTGTGTATGCATATGTTTGTCTATAGAGGTTTCGGTTTGTGAAGACATCTGTGAATATGTGTGTCCCTGTGTTAAGTAAGGGCGTACTCAAATGTCCCTTTCTCCAGCCCCTCGATGCCATCAGCCCAGTTGGATGAAGGCATACTGCTGTAGGGGTCCAGCAGGATCCTGAAACACCTTACTATCAGCAGCCCTAGGAACACCAGTAGCATCCCCACAAAGGCAAATGCTGTCTTCTGCTCCAGAGTCAGAGAGTGCGCCATCATGTCGTTTCCGCTCATGGCAGCAAGGGAGTGGTTGTAGTGGACGCTAAACATGGTAAACCAACATCTAGGTGTCTCATCTCTCCTCTGATGGGGTCAGGCGTTTAGAAGCCTGCATGTTACCTGGATAGAGATTAAATGATGGCTTTAGATTAGTGCAATCTAATCTCTTGTGATCCATTTAATCAACTGATTTAAGTATCACCGCACTTAATGTATACACTGCATACGCTGTGAGAAACAAGGGTGCAGACATGGGAAAAAGAAAATACAGACCATTAAATAAGGAAGGGTTATCTATAAATAGCCTCTTTTGAATGTAGTATCAAACAGATGTCCAGAGACTTCGATCTCTCTCTCTCACTCTGTCCCTCTGGGAATTTTGCAGAAAATTACAAAAGGCAAACACGAACAGAAGAGTGAGGGAGACCACAGGGAAATGGGTTCAGGAATACGAGCCAATGTCATGGCTACCTTTCTTTAAGTCGAGTTAGAATTACAGTATGTCGCAGTGCACAGCCAGCTGTTAAACATAGGCAAAGCGGTAAAGTATCAATGAAAGCCTCACATCTCATAAAGATGTGACGTTATCTATGTTAGCTTTAGAAAAAGGGCTCTCTCTACCTGTTGCGTGCAAGCAGATGCCTGCCAGACAGTGTAATTCCATTAGACAAGAAAGCGACGATGATTGACCAAACATAATCACAAAATTGGTGTGGTCACACAAGTACAAGTCTGCTTCTGTCATTCTTTTCCTACCAAATCTTTCATATGAACACAAGCAGCAGGTGGCTCCAGTGAAAGGAGGAGGGGTTGGGGGGAGTGGGGGGGGTTAGATGAGAGAGGGAGGGCACATACAGACACGGATAGAGGAATGAACAGGGAGAATTGGTGAAGACAGACATAGGGAGAATGAAGTAGAATGATGAGGAGGACACTGCACAAATACGCATGGAGTGAGAGACAGAGAGGAGAGAGGGAGGGAGTGAGGCAGGGTGAAAGAGAGAGACTGCATTGACAAATTCTCCAGTGAGGATGTCTAAGAAAGAAAAAGCAGGAATCTCACCGTCATTATCGTTCCATCCTTACAGACCTGTTGCTGCTGTTTCTTGTGAACAACTCCTCTTTCTTGGTGCCCTCAGACACATATCCATTAATCCATCCATTGCTGTCATACTGGATGTGCTAGGCTAATCTCTCTCATCTAAACATATAGCGAGAGATAAAGAGAGGAACAGAGAAGCGAGGGAGAGGCTGGATCAAGCTATGATATGTGTCTCTTTGCAGAGATACAGATCCTCTCCTCATGCTCCCTTACTTGCTGCCTCCTACTCATTATCATTCTGTTTCTCTATCTCTCCCTCCAGAAGCACGCACGCTTGCTCCTGCTGCATGGCAACCACTTGTTAGTCTCACTCAGCTGCTCTGCTGTCTCAGTCACTCACAACAATCCCCTCCTCAGCAACACCAGGACGGATGCAGCAGCATAAACAAGCAATCCGCAGCTTCTTTTTCTTCTCTCTTCATTCTGCCCTCCCTGGCTTATTTGGCTTTTCTAAAAATGACTCCACCAAAATGTGACAGGAATATCATGGCTTAGCCAGCAGGAGAAATACTGCCTCTCACTGCTCCTGGCCAGTAAATGCTGCTGCAAAGGTATTTTTGTACAGCACAGCATTATGCTCCAAGCCTGGGTTGATGATGTATTTTTAATTGGTGCAGTTTGTTGTGGTCAAATTGAATTAGTCCATCTGCTTTAAGGCTTATGCAAGCGCCTTGTACATGGTAAAGAAGAAGAGACTGGTATTTAAATATATTTTACTGTAGTGAATAAAAAGCAGCATTGTAAAAGCAAACAAACAGCAGGTCATCTGATTGATCACTGTAACCAAATGCAGCAGTGAAGCATCTGGCTATCTATTTTTGCTGTTATGCAGTGCAAATTCATATCAGCAATGTAGTTTCTGTCACAGTGGTGCAGTGACTCGGATCTGAGGATAAGGCATGCCATGAGGGAGATGGTCATCACTGGTGTTCGACGTACAATATTCATGGCTTAAAAGTGGTATAGAGAGCTCCATTTTTCTTTTTTGGTTTTAAACAGCAGAAAAAATCCCCGAGATAACCTAAACACAATAAAATCGTTAGACATTGCTTCTTTGCCCACATGTCACTTTAAAAGACAAGGTCAAAATGGAAAACTACTGGGTCACAGCGCAATAGTGCATAGTCATCAGTGATGAGGTCAAGTTACAGACAGTGCAAATGCACATTACACACGTCTACACGTCACATTCACCCCATTCATACACATTCATACACTGATGGCAAAGGCTACCACTCCAGTGGCAGCTGATCATCAGAAAATAACTAGTCATTCACAACATGCAAATGTGCTTTTACCTGTGTGTCAAGGTGTGCTGATGTGTTTTGGACTCTTTTGGCTCTGGAATTGGAAAAGCAGAGAAATTGTAAACATGTTACATGAAGTACATTAGAAGGACATAACGATAAAGATTGTTATCTCAGCCAGGCAACAGGTCAGGAACAAAACTGATATTGAGAACTATAAAATGATTCTACGAACTGCTATCACGGTATTCATTTTAATGTTAATTAACTCTATACTACACCCTTGTGAGATAAAACAATCTGTACAAAAAAAGTACAAAGGCAGATGCAGATTTTAAATACTTTATTAGGCCTTCCCATTAGCCTGTGTGCAGCAATTACTAATTTTCCGGGGGCCCACAAATTAATTAAATTGACATGGTCAGATGTCAATTAGATTTTCATTTAAAAAGGTTGGTCTGAGTTTTTAGAAGATATAATAATCTACAATGTTTTAAAAACATACTGCCAATGTGATTGTGCACATCTCAGTATAGAGAGATTTACTTGAGTACTTCAGTGAGCTAGTGATAACAATTAGACATATGCAAGTTAGTGCCAGGTTTATATTGTGCTAGTCACACCATAAATTACTATAAACTAGCCATGGACTTCCCATCAAGGAAATGTATTATCATTTTACCGACCAGATTTTTCATTTACAGAGTAAGATGTGTACTGTGCTGTATGTTAAAGGTTAACTTCCCTGATATCTTACAGGTCAGCCTAATCCACAGTTGTAATAAAAAGTTGTTGCAATTTGTCATTAACCGTACCTGACTTAGCAGAGGTATCTGTTCCTGAATAAAGTGAAAATATATTTATTTTTAGGCATGAGGTTGTATGTCAGGACTGGGGCCAGAAACTCAGACGCAGCCCAGAGTATGAGCAGTGAGAGGTTTTATTGAACACAAGGGAGAGACAGGTGTGGCTTGGGGATGGGTGGTTGTTCCAAGGGGAATGTGGTCCTGGTTCGAGAGCTCAGGGGTTTCCATGGCACAGGAGGGAATCCGAGTCAGGCATGGGCAGGTATTCTGTAGTCGAGACAGAAAAACAAGTTAATACTAATGCAAGGGTTCAGACAAGATGCTGATAGTTCAGGATGGGCAACAGGCTGGTGTGTTCGTACTGTGAGGTACAACAATCCAGCTGGGACTGGAAGGTTGGGCTGGTCTTTTAAGGTGAGTTGATTGTAGGCTGAGGCACTGGTGTGCTGATTAACTGGATGAGTCTCAGGTGCGTAAACTGGAGCTCAGGCAACCACGCCCACCAGCAGCCCCAGAGCATGAGGGAGGAAGCAGAACACAGAGCAACAGACGAAAACCATAAACGCCCCAAGGGGAAAAGAACTCAAAAACTACAATCACACACACGCAATCCAACAGGAAGGTCAGGGTCACGACCGGGGGTTCGTGACAATATATACTACATGCAGAAACCCAAGCAGCTGAATCAAAATATCAGTATAGGAAATTGGACACTTTGACATAACACAGCAGACATCTGGGTCAGAGAAGCTAACCTGTAGATGCAGCCTACTGCACATGTAGTGTGAATTGGTTGTAAATGGGACAGTATCCCTAAAAGTGGCTTAAAAAGGCTTGCTGTTAGTGACTTCCTTTAAATATATTTAAAAGATTCAAATGAACCCCCCCCCACACACACACAATTTTGAAACACGCTGTTTGATTCTGGAGGTAAAGTCATAAGGGCATTCTTCAGAGACAGTCTTTCCTCCTATTATCACCAGTGTACCCTCAGCACTAAAACAAAAACAGCCCATTTGCTTGCTTTCTAACGAGTCTTGCTTTGAATCACTGATTAGATGTAAAAATATGTCTAAATGATACTTCATGTAGAGCATAAAACTATGGTTTGACACCGTTCTTAAGTTCAAAAAGTTGTCATCTGCATATCTCAAAAAAAATTTAACAATTAGGAGTTGGACAACATTTTCTAAAGCAGTAGAATCAACCTTGTGTGATACTGAAAAATAAGACTTAGAAGTGTATTTTATACAACTTTTAAAGCATATTGTACAGGGAAAATGAAATTATTCCTCTGGTAGAATAAAGTGCATCAATCAATAGTTTCAGGAATTCTGAATTGGCTTGGCTCATTCTGCACTACATCATTAGCATAAAAATATTTGCACATAATTCAGGGACTTACTGGTTCTATTAGACACTTCAAATTGTCAGGCCTTGTCTTGTGCATGGATCCCTGCCTTAGTGGGTTGCACTTAGTTTCTGTACTGTTCAGAAACACACACATGCATCCATTAGAAGGTGTCACTTTCTGTTAAGTGCCACTTATTCAGTTACTCAGAGACTCACTTGCTGACCCCTGTGTCTAACATACTAACCTTAGAGCAATCATTGCACAATCTTTTCATAATCCCATTTTATTAGTGCTTATTGTCCAGTAACCTTTCTTATTCTACTATTCAATTCACCCTGGCTGCCTAGCAACATCTGCCAAATCTCGCGTTAGAGACACAAATCTCCACTACACATTTTGAACTGCGTAGCGACAAAGGCGTCTTGCGTTGTATGGGGCTAGAAAAACCTCAACATGGCAGATGTTGAAACTCTCGATGAGGAGTCAAAGCAAGAGGAATGCACAGCATCCATCATGTCCGAACCTGAGGAGACATCGGAAGAAACACCCAATGGCGTGAAGACGTGAGTAAAAATGATGTATTGTCTGTCCCGTCCTTGCAGCCTTTAGCTACCTTAGCTAAAATGGAGTCATGTGATGCTAGCTATTGTTAGCATAGAAGCATCTAACCTCTGTTGTCAAACACTGAAACCGTTAAGTACCTGTGTGATAGGTTTGTAGCTGACCCGACACCAAACGTATGCTATATATTTTCTAACTCATCTCTCAAAATTGTGCGCTTTTGCAATAACATTAATTTAACGTTATTCAATGTAATGGCTCAACCTTCAACGTTAAGTTAACGTTAACGTTACTGTTTGCGAATCTCGGTTGTGTTTCTATTTTTGTTAGCTAACACAAACATAATTAATAGTGAAATTTAACTCTTGTTAAATCTGCACAGTAAACCCAGCTTAAACTTTAAACTAGTTCGTTGGATAAATCAAATAGGCTGATTGCAGACGACATAACTAGCTAGCGTTAGCAACCCTGTTAGCTAATCTCTACACAGTTGTACGCTTCGATGTGTCAAGTTAACAACAATAACGTGAGCTGCAAATGGCTCTGATGCTACACTGTAAATTAGGGTTAATTAATTAACGTAACTAGCTATAGCTAGTAGTATTGTCTTTGCCTCTGACCAGGTGGTTATTTGTACAGCATCCATTTATTAATAAAGACGACAACATTTAAAAACTCGTAAGCATTATATTATGTCAAATTTGGACAATTGAATCATACATCCAAAGGTCTCCTAGCATTTATCTACACAGAGTTCTGTATAGATATAGTTTTTTAATATTACCTAATAATCTTTTTGACAATTTTTCCTCAAGTTATGCATTAATCTAATATTAACAGAGCTGTATCATTCATTCTGTATGTAAGAAAGTGTTATTCGAATGTAAAGAAAAGCACATTACCACCGAAATGCACAACACATGACAGGACCTTACTATTACTCACAAATGTATTGACACGTCTTTTAATATACATACTATACTGTGTGATAACCAAATGTAGTTTGGCTGTTCTCTGACCTGCAGCTTTGTGCGTTTTGTAGGGATGCTGAAGAAAATAAGCCCCCCAAAGAAAAGCATGATGCTAAAGAGAAGTCCTCCGGGAGCAGAAGAGGAAACCGCTACCATCCCTACAAAGACAAACACGGTGGAGAAAAGAAGGGTGCTCATAGGAATCGGGTTTTCATCAGCAATATCCCTTATGATATGAAGTGGCAGGCAATTAAAGATCTAATGCGTGAGAAAGGTAATGTCTCCAGTGATGGGGATTGTCTCTCCTCTTTTCAGCTTATTAGAAGTTCTTGACCCTTTTTCCTTTGTTACCAGATGGAGCATCCTGCTTCTAGCAGTAGTAAACTAGTTTGTAGATTTCTCTGGATGTACAGATAGTGGGGAACCAACATAGTGTGAAATTAGGTTATTGGAGTTTTAATAAATTTCTTTGGCTGGACACCAATTTAGTTTGGGCTGATATGTCTGTGAGAAAAGGAAGATGAACTTGTCACTTGTTTTATGGCATTGTCAGCTCCAAAATGTAACCTCAAACCAGTAGCAGATTGTTGAATGATTTTGTTGCATCTGTTGCAAGGTGAATCATATGAATAAAATATTGTAATATTTTACTTTCTGAATTATGGGGCTCTCAAGAAGCCTTTTGAAAGGTCCAAGGACAGATTAAACCTTTCAACTGCCATGAATGGAATCTGATGAACTGATCATGTTGAAGTCTTTTGAATTTCCCAGGTTTAATGTAGCTGTGTTTCTCTCTGGCCTTGGCCTTTGGGTGTCTCAGTCACTGCCCAGAAAGGCATGGTGTTGTCTGGTGGGATGTTGGTCTGGGCTGACTGTTGATCATTAATGGGACATTTCCATCTGTAGCGGCATTGCCAAGGCCAACGGCGACTTGAAGACTTGGTGACTTAAATTCCTTTGTTCTTTTGGTATTTTTCCTTTGTATGTCTCATGTAGTTGGTGAGGTTACATACGTGGAGCTCTTTAAGGATGCAGAAGGAAAGTCAAGGGTAAGTGATGTGGCCAACTTGCTGCACGAGGTTTTAAATGCCCTCAGCAGGCTCTCATTAACAAAGTGCTCTTTTAGGTTCTGATCCTTTGGGTCTTACTAAGTTACCGAACTGGAGATATTGTAGGTTGTGTTTAGAGCCTGATAGATGGCCAATGATTGATATTCATTTGAAAGGGAGATGTCCTGTTGATTTTGGAAAAGTAGCTTAATGAACTCATCTAAGAGTACACTTTTGCTTTTGTTGTTGTCATTTCAATTGGTGAAAAAGTTTGTTTGTTTGGCCATTTTCCAAAGGGAAGTGTGGGTTGTAGGATTTGTCTTATTGATTGACCCTCCATGTCTCAAAATCTTATTTTACAATTCTGTTACATGGCACAGCTCTCTTCAAAGGAACAAACCAGTCTCGAAAGATCTTGTAGTGTTTTTATTGTTATGTTTTTATATTATATGGACCACTATTTTTCTTTATTGCAGTGGTAAAACTGGTTAATCCTAAACAATGTACTAATTAAATTTGTTTAATGCATTTTCTACCTTGGTATTTGTGTCCAGTTCAAAACATTAAAAATATTACATTAAAATTACAATGCATGGTATCTGTTAATGCTATTCATGTTTTTACCAAACGTATAAACGATGTTTATACACCTTAAATTATTATTGTTAATTTATTATTTTAAAAAATTAATTGTCAACATTGCTTCAGGTAATTATAAAGACTATGCTCTAATTAAACTTTTAATCTTGTTTGCAGTAGACTTAAACACAACCACACCCCTGCTGGCTCAAGCCAGTGGGCAAAATATGGCCAACATGCACTATAGGAAATGTTAGAAGCATGTTGATACATGAAGCATTAGATTTAAAATGTCCCAGTGCTTTGTCTTGATTTTTAACTGTGTTTTGTTCACTCCCTCGACCTTGGATATGTGTGCTACCTGTATGTGTGCTACCTGGACACCTATGTTGCCCCCTGGCTAGGGTTGTGGGTAAGAAACTATCTTACTTTCATACATGGAACATAGAACTTTCTTTTATCTCACACTTGCATGGACTCCCTGATTCCTCTTTCCCTAATTCAACAGTGTGGTGGAGTTCAAAGATGAGGAGTTTGTGAAGAAGGCAATAGAAACTATGAATAAGCATGACCTAAGTGGAAGGCCACTCAACATCAAGGAGGTGAGATCAACTTACTAACAAAATACCTGTTTTGGTTTCAGAAAATAAATAAAATACATGTTTGCACAGTAGCAGCAGATATAAAGTGTTGTTTTTCCAGTGTTACTGTCATGCTCTTATTGGTCCAAATTTCAAAAAGTAAATAATCCTAGCACAAACATTTGTTATGATGCTACTCCAAACTAAAATACTACCCAGTGACAGATGGTTATACATTTAGGTCTTCTCATTAGCATTGAAGTGATGCATTTTTGTGACATTGCTTGTGGCCTTTCTATTGATTTTATCCATACGAGGTTTGAAAGATTTGTAAGTGGTCACAAATAATTGTAGCAATTATTACACTGTAAATCTTCTAGGGGAACTGAAATACCACTAGAAAACTTGACAAAGTGTGGAACTTTATTATAGAGTTGTTTATTGCAGTTGTACACTTTAAACTGACTGATTGTTCATGATTATCTTGATCTGGCAATTCAGAGGTAAATTTGTATTTATATTGTATTTTGTATAAATATTGTATTTTATATTTAAGGACCCTGATGGGGAACATGCTCGGCGTGTGCTCCAGCGCATGGGAGGAGGTCAACAAGGAGGTCGTGGGCAAGACATGGGGCCGGGTGGGATAAACATCCCACTCTCCATTGCCAACAATCCCAACATCCCACCGGATGTCATCCATGCACTGCAGGCTGGACGACTTGGCAACACAGTGTTTGTGGCCAATGTGAGGACATAGTAACAAACAATTTCTAAATTTAGGTTGTGATGATTATTCGTGTCGATTTAAAAATAGTGATTTCTTTTCTGTTGAACAGCTGGACTTCAAGGTTGGCTGGAAGAAGTTGAAGGAGGTGTTTGGCATGGCAGGTGTGGTAAAACGAGCAGATGTAAAGGAGGATAAAGATGGAAAGAGTCGTGGGATGGGAACAGTGACTTTTGAGCAGTCACTGGAGGCTGTGCAGGCCATCTGTATCCTTCAGAATTAAACACTTTAATAGAAAAAGAACTCAAAGTAATGCTTAGGGCCATATGAAATTCATACACCTTTTTTCTGTTTTAATTTTTCTGAATTCTGTGTTTTACAATTTAAGCTAATTTAGTTATCAAAGTGTGTAATCATGTGTTAGATGAATAAAATTACAATTAAGAAAATATAAAAAATGTAATCAATATCAATTTGATGTATCATGCAAATATGCATATGGCAACATTCAAATGGTTTTGCAATTATTTATGGGGACAATTCACAATCAATGCATTCTTGCCATACATGTACTCTGAATTGTCCCCTATTAAAAAGGTTATTTATTACCATAGATGATTACTGCCCTTGTGTCTTCTGCAAGACAGCTTTCATACTGCTCCAATGCATGGTAAAAAGTGGGCAATGCTCCTCTTTGTCGGTAAAGCTTGAAAGCTTTTTAATTTTTTCTCAGTGAATGTTTGACCATACAGCCAGGAGTGAGCTTGCGCCTTGCATCTGGTGATATTGTTGCACTTTTGAGAGTTTGTTGAAGTGATGAGCTCTTACAAGTGTGCTGATTATATCACACTGTGTGTGTATGTGCGTGTGTGCACGCACATACACACACACACACACACTAAATGCATTTAGGACTGGACCCGAATATTTGAATATTCGACCATTGGGTACACATTCGATTTTCTATTATGAGATTTGATTATTGAGCCTGACGACAGCAGTGAACGTAACACTCCAGTTCACATCAAAGGGAAAATGAAATGAAGCCCTCAGCTGTGTGGGAGAACTTTAAACTGAGTGATGACAGCAGTAGCATGGCAGTTATGGTGTTTATTGATTTTACAATTGCTTAATTTCATTACAGATCAAAACATTCAAATTTCCTACATTTTAAAATTAATCAGTATCAAACTGTAGGCTGGAAACAAACAACAACACAATGAACGCATTTAAATAAGCCTAATTATATTAGGCCGGTTGTAGAAGAAGAGCATTTTGTCGCTATAATTAAAGTTAAAAGTGAATTTTACATAACGTGTTAGATTTAGTTCCTATACCGGAAACACCGCTCTTCCCGTGCGCTCTCTGCCTGGACCCCGACCCGGCTAAACTATTCCCGGATTCTGCTCTGGACCTGCTTGGATCAGACTCTCTGCTACGGTTCCCCCTGCTCTGTACAGCAGGCCACCGACCCTGTTTGGCACGCATTGATTTTCACTCTGCCTGCTCTTCACCTGCTCAATATAGGCCTACAATCCTTTTTACCCCGCAAGAAATATTTCTCCCTTTCTTAGTGCTGCAGTTGGGTCTGCTAGCGGCTATAACAAATTTAAAAACAAAGATTTGGTAATAATCACTCAGTTAGCCTAGCTATGAGAATAAATAAACGGAGCGCTTTTTTTATTTTTTCTTTCTCTCACACGCGCACAGACAGACTTGCGCACCCATGCCGCCGCTATCACTTCCCCATCCGATCACCCCTCGCTCAGCAGAACTTAGTGGGCATTTATCCTTCTTCTGCTGTTCTGCTTCTATCCCTTAAATACATAGTTGTAACTCATGAAAAAACCAAAACACGTTTAAACAATCAACACAACGGGACCGCTGAGGGGCGAAGCTTCGATTATTCGCTCTTAATTACTATCGAAGCGTTGAAGCTCAAAAAATGATATTTGGGCCAGCCCTAAATGCATTACAGTTGTACCGTGACCATTCCCTTGACTCTATACTCAGCCATGTTCAATGGACAGATGCTCTTTGACAGACAGATGCACGTTAAAATGGTATGTTATTTTAAGTTATTTTATAACTTAAGTTCTAAATATAACATGAAAAATACATGTTTACTTTTTTTGTGTGTTACAGGATGAGAAATCTCTTCCTCCTGAAGACTTCCGTCAAGTAGAAAAAACACCTCAGTTACCACGTGAGTACACGTTTATCCTCTGTCATTTCTTTATGTCAAACTCATATCCATAACATTGTCAGTTTAAGAGACACATTAATAAAATTAGCATATTTATCATTTACAGTGACCAAAAATAATGTTGAGGCAGTGTGCTAATGAAAAGAAATACTACGTGGCTTGTGTGTTTTTTCGTAACTGTAGGATAGTTGTTGGCCTGTTGATGTTTTCAGTGATGCTTCACACACAAAGGCAACATAAAAGCAGTTAAATATTTAAAAACGTATATGACGTTGAACTCTCATACAGTAATTACAGCAGTGTTTATAGATGGAAAATCTGCATTTTGTATTGTGTTTCATGGTCAAATTCAAATATGTGTGCTTGTTTTACTCTGGTTACAAACAAAGTTTCTTTTTTGATATCGGAAAACATTAATGACTTAGAAGTAGTAGTTGTCATCTAGGAAAGTATTTGTATTACAATAGCCAATTTGAGTAGTAGCATGTCATGGTGTGCTTGTTTATTAATGAAATGTAGAGCTCTGATGTCTTCACTGAAACTAAAGACTCACCAAAATGGGATGTGGAATTGTTCCACAAATTGAACAACATTTCACATGGATAAATAAATAATATCTGCTCTACCCAACAGCAAAATCTGGGTACCTTTTGATGTTAAGTATGCTCTGAGCAGTATATCTTCCATTCTTGAGAGTTGGTGCATTGCAGATGCAGTTAAGGATCATGTAAAGATGTGGCTTGGCACATTTCCTTTTTACTAAATGACTTGCGTTAAGTGCAAACACTTCTCAATGAATGTCAGTTACATTAAATGTCAGTAGCATTATTGATTTAGCTTTGCATTAATTCTCATATTGTATGTAATCAACTTTGCTATTGGTGCTAGTAAATTGCATAACTTCAACTTTGTTTGTAGGGGGTCTAGGTGGTATTGGCATGGGCCTGGGGCCAGGAGGGCAGCCTATAAATGCCAACCGTCTGAGCGGTGGAGGAGGGATGGGCTCTATGGGGCCTGGAGGTCAGTTACATACTGTGTTGCTACCAGTTTGGATCTATAGGCAAATGCACATCTGAGAGAACCAGATACATCTTCTCTAGCTGGTCACAAGATTTGCACCGCACGGCAGCATTAATCAGCAGCTTTGAACATCATCCTGGCAAATCAGCATACACAGTTAATGTGTAAACTACTCAACCACCAAGTCTTTCATGGCTCATCTTTTGACTTTACAGCAGTCTCAATGTGGTGACCATACATTACCATAATCTACCAGCAGAAATACAGGACTTTCACACTACTAGGTGAATGTGATGTAAAATGTAAAAAGACACAGTATGCTCTTTGGCATGGCCTTGATGACGACATCTTCTGCCATAGGTATGGATGTTCCAGGTTGTGGGGGAATGAACAGACTTGGAGGAGGTATGTTGTTTTGTTTACCTATGAGTTTTCCACGTGAAAGACCATTGTCAACTTTTGTGGAGGATAGGAGAGGGTGATGCTCAAACTTGGTGTTGCTTTTGACAGGTATGAGTGGTGGCGGTGGCTTCGGGGGCATGGATAGCATGGGCAACATGGGCGGCTTTGGAGGGAGAGACATGGCACCAGTTGGCAGGATGGGAGGTATGTGAGCAAATTCACTCCACCAGGTAAAGATGAGGTTCAGTTCAAGGATGTTATTCTGTAAACATTGAGATGCACCTTTTGTGTTATAGACACCTTAAGTCTAAGGTTACATTTTGTTTCCTGTGTTGAGATATGTACCGGTCAGGAATGGGCGGAATGGATCGGGACTTTGGCCACAGTGACATGCCTATGAATCGAGGATTTGGGGATTCCTATGGAGGAATGGGTAAGTGATGCTCTGACTTCAGCCTTGAATTTTGTCATACTTAAACACCAGACACAGTGGAAGTTATGCAAGTTCTTCTGTGCAGTTTGATTTTGAGTTATGATGGGTCTAAGGGATTGCTTTTTGTTATGTGGACTGCTATGCTTACAGGCTGACTGTTTCTGTTTGCTGTTGTGACATTGTTGTATTAACCAATGTGCATTCTCAACTTTTAGGTGGAGGTTTTGGTGGAGGTATGGGCAGTGGTGGCATGGGGCACTTGGGCACTGGATTAGGTACATGAAATAGTCCATCTCCATCTGTATCTATTCTGTTCTAAATCTGTTATGTCAGCCACAAGCTTCTTTATTACTTTTGACATTTGAAAGTTCTCACCTGTTTTATAGTCTTTTGACAGTTTATACAGCCAGTCATGTAAAGGGAGGAATGAGTTTTAGTGTACCACGGTGTAGAAAGTCATTAATTGTCATGCCTTGTTGAATAGGCGAAGGATGAAGAAGAAGGCCCTAGTAGTGAGCTTGCGCCTTGCATCTGGTGATATTGTTGCACTTTTGAGAGTTTGTTGAAGTGATGAGCTCTTACAAGTGTGCTGCTGAGCCCCAGTATAAGTGTTGGCTCTACTCATGTGTTGTCCTCAAACACAACGTGAAGTTCCATACCACAGGTGTGATGCATATTCTAGTAGGATCAATAGTTATCTACAGTGACAACATTGAGATATATGATGTTGTGGCCACAGTTGCAACTGAAAGACTTTCTGCCATGCAGTGTTATGAAAAAAACGCTGTAGACCTATGAAAAATTAGAAATATTTAAATTGTGGTTAAAGTAGGGGACGTAGGTAAAGCAGGCGGCACTGATCTATAAACGAGTGAATCTTGGGGTATCTGTTGTCAACAGCTGCTTTATACTGTATGGTACATCGAGTTACTGCTGCTCGTCAGTCCTGTGTAATTGCCTCCATGCACCTTTCTTTTTAGCAAAAATGCCATCTCATTGTTTCATTCTTGAAATACTTAATGGTGCAAGCTAGGGCTAGGCAATAAATATTATCACAATAAAAACATTAATATCAGTCAATATCGATAACCATCACAATAAATGTCAAATCATTATTTCTTCCAAATTTAAAGGCAGATTTTTGCTCAGAGGGAAAGTTAAAACAGATGGTTAATTGGGGTTTACTACACTCTACACTACACTGACATGTCATTGGACTAAATGAATATAAAGCTCTGTCTTAAGATGTGAAAGGTATTGTAATATTTTTTGTATGGCAGTTTCAATATGCAGATGTTGTCTTAATGTCTCATTTGCATTAATCTGTGATCAGAAATACATATACTGCCCTGTTAAAATATACAGTACATTGTTTAAGTTTCTCTCTCATTTTACAAGTGTGTCTTAATTGCAGGTGGCGGAATGGGCAATATGTCAATGGACCGGATGGGCTCCAGCTATGACCGTATGGGTATGTCAGGAATGGACATGAACCGTGGCTTTGGTGGCTTTGGAGGTGGGGGCCCAGGACACATGGGTGGAGGCATGTCTGACAGAGGCTCTGGGTCCAAAGCAGGTTGTCAGATCTTTGTGCGAAATGTAAGTATGTGTTAGATATGTGAGAACTTTGCTAGTTTAGAGAATTAGACGTCTGTTAAATTAGGATTGGAGTTATTTAGCCATCTAACCAATGACGAAATTACTATTTCAATGATACATACATTTTCTGTGTTGATGCTCTAGTTTTGAGTGAGGTTTTACAGGGACTCAGCCCATGCTTGTTGTGCATTATTATAAATGGTAATGATGCTGTAAATGAGTAGTTCATGATTGGTTTGTTTAGATGAATTAACTGGTGCTTTTCTTGACAGTAGGGTTTTGAGTTTGAGTCTGACTCTTTATGATGTCTGTACTACATGCTTTATTGATGCACTCATCTCTTTGAATGTTGTACTATTTCATCTAGCCTCAAATACAGGTGCTGGTCATATAGTTAGACTATCATCAAAAAGTTGATTTATTTCAGTAATTCCATTCAAAAAGTGAAACTTTGATATTATATTTATTCATTCATTACACACAGACTGACTCAAATGTTTTTCATTTAATTGTGATGATTAAAACTGACAACTAATGAAAATCCCAAATTCAGTATCTCTGAAAATTAGAATATTAAGACCAATACAAAAAAGGATTTTTAGAAATGTTGGCCAACTGAAAAGTATGAACATGAAAAGTATGAGCATGTACAGCACTCAATACTTAGTTGGGGCTCCTTTTGCCTGAATTACTGCAGCAATGCGGCGTGGCATGGAGTCGATCAGTCTGTGGCACTGCTCAGGTGTTATGAGAGCCCAGGTTGCTCTGATAGTGGCCTTCAGCTCTTCTGCATTGTTGGGTCTGGCGTATTGCATCTTCCTCTTCACAATACCCCATAGATTTTCTATAGGGTTAAGGTCAGGCGAGTTTGCTGGCCAATTAATAACAGGAATACCATGGTCCTTAAACCAGATACTGGTAGCTTTGGCACTGTGTGCAGGTGCCAAGTCCTGTTGGAAAATGAAATCTGCAACTCCGTAAAGTTGGTCAGCAGCAGGAAGCATGAAGTGCTCTAAAACTTCCTGGTAGACGGCTGCGTTGACCTTGGGCCTCAGAAAACACAGTGGACCAACACCAGCAGATGACATGGCACCCCAAACCATCACTGACTGTGGAAACTTTACACTGGACTGCAAGCAACGTGGATTCTGTGCCTCTCCTCTCTTCCTCCAGACTCGGGGGACCTTGATTTCCAAAGGAAATGCAAAATTTACTTTCATCAGAGAACATAACTTTGGACCACTCAGCAGCAGTCCAGTCCTTTTTGTCTTTAGCCCAGGCGAGACACTTCTGATGCTGTGTCTTGTTCAAGAGTGGCTTGACACAAGGAATGCGACAGCTGAAACCCATGTCTTGCATACGTCTGTGCGTGGTGGTTCTTGAAGCACTGACTCCAGCTGCAGTCCACTCTTTGTGAATCTCCCCCACATTTTTGAATGGGTTTTGTTTTCACAATCCTCTCCAGGGTGCGGTTATCCCTATTGCTTGTACAGTTTTTTCTACTACATCTTTTCCTTCCCTTTGCCTCTCTATTAATGTGCTTGGACACAGAGCTCTGTGAACAGCCAGCCTCTTTAGCAATGACCTTTTTTGTGTCTTGCCCTCCTTGTGCAAGGTGTCAATGGTCGTCTTTTGGACAGCTGTCAAGTCAGCAGTCTTCCCCATGATTGTGTAGCCTACATAACTAGACTGAGAGACCATTTAAAGGCCTTTGCAGGTGTTTTGAGTTAATTAGCTGATTAGAGTGTGGCACCAGGTGTCTTCAATATTAAACCTTTTCACAATATACTGAGATACTGATTTGGGGGTTTTCATTAGTTGTCAGTTATAATCATCAAAATTAAAAGGAATGAACACTTGAAATATATCAGTCTGTGTGGAATGAATGTATACATTATACAAGTTTCACTTTTTGAATGGAATTACTGAAATAAATCAACTTTTTGATGATATTCTACTTATATGACCAGCACCTGTACGTTAATGTTAACAAATGAATTGACTAAGGTTTACATATCTGTGATGCAGCTGTCCTATGATCTGACATGGCAAAAGCTGAAAGAGAAGTTCAGTCACTGTGGTACGTATTTTGCTTAGTATTAATTGCTCAGTGTGAAGTAAATCTTGATTGCTAAATTTACAAATCACTCAATAACCTCTTGACATTTCATCATGAATGCCCAAATTTAAATTTTTGTTTCTGCGGCAGGCCAGGTAATGTTCGCAGAGATCAAGATGGAGAACGGAAAGTCAAAGGGCTGTGGAACAGTGAGATTCGACTCTCCAGAGAGTGCTGAAAAGGCCTGTAGGATGATGAATGGAACAAAGATCAACGGCCGAGAGGTGGACGTCCGTATTGATCGCAACGCCTAGAGCTTTTGTAGAAGTTATGCTAACACACTTCCACATTCAGCCCTCTTGCCAATGACCTTTTGTTTTGTTTTAAAAACACAATTACTTCATATCTCATGTGTCTGTTTAATTATTATTTTTTGTTTATACAGCATAGGTCTTTGTTTTGTAAACCCTTTTTAATTTGTCAGGCAGTTTATTTTAACAAATAAACTTTTTAATTTTTAAACGTGGTGGTTGTAAAGTCTCCTGAGATCAAAGTCTCTGAAGTTGTTCTTCACATTGTGTAAACTGGCGCTGAGTTGTTGGATCTATTTAGCATTATTGCTCAACAGTGCCGTACAGTGGCTTCTTGAAAGTGGGGAAATTCCACATTAAACACAAAGCAGCAATTGGAATAAAGTGAGAACCAAATGGACATTTATCAGGCGTGGTCTCAAACACTAATCATAGGAAGCAAATTCTGAGATCTCTGAAATTGGTAGTTTTTGTTTCAGTAGGAAAGGATTGTAATTTCTGATGGCATTGTTAATGTAAGGATAGATCAGTCTTATGTCCATATAAGCTTTGCAGTTAGCTATAAACCCCACAAATAAAAATGTTCATCATTCCATTTTTACTTATTAGTTAAAATGTATTTTACTATTTGTGGCTTTTATAGGCACACATTTGTGTGAACAGATAACAATCTGTGTGTAAATGTGTCATCTGTAAATATACACCTTCCACAAATATAAAAAAACTGATTTGGAAACTCAAAATATTCTACAAATATAAAATGATCTGCACAAATACAACAAATGAATAAAATGTTATTGCCTTTAACTAAATTTAAAAAGAAAAGAAAAGAATTTGGGAATAACTAACTTGAGAATGACATTTATGACATTGAAACATGAATTTTTAAATCCAGTTTTTATTTTGTGGATCTCAATTCTGCACTTGAGGATTTGCATTTGAGACAAACTTTCAACCAGTCCGAATGAAAATCCGTAAACATCACTCGGCCATTTTCAATAGCATATGATCGCCTGCTCCATACCTCATTTCCGCATTTCAACATAAGAGCATGCAGTCTTTCAACGGCTGAATCCGTGGCCCAATCGTCATCTCCACCAAGCCTAAACCCTGAACCTCACCAAAGTCCTTATAGGCTAAAATAAAAAAATAAAACGTCTCTGACCTCACAGACTTAGTTGATGTCACCCGTTAAGTGCTAAAGTGCAAGAAAGTAATTTAAAGTAGTTAAGAACAACACTAAAAAATGTACTGAATAAATATGACTGGAATAACACTGGATAACAATCAATTTGTGACAGATTCTGGCCATAGTATAAAAGAAGATGATTCTGGCAGAGAACCACAACGCTGAAGCATGTGCTGAGGGGCTATGAAGCCATTGACGGGACAAAGTGAAACATACCATTACCTTGATTAATATTTCGGATTTTCTGAATTTGAAAATTGTTGGAAACATTTAGGACAATATATAACATACTTTTTAATGCAGAAAACATATACCTTTACGTGATCACATTTAAAAAGATATATCTGTTTTTCAGAAGGATGTTTTTGAAATGTATTAGTCTCTTAATTCTCTTAACCTATTATATTAAATGATATAAGAAGTGAATGTTTTTCAAAATACACCTTTTAACCTATGTCCTTTGTGGGGGGACAGTGGGTTTCATTTTCAACAATTTTCCATACTTCATTACTGTAAGGGTCAGATACTGAGCTGTCACCAGATGAGGAGGAAGAGAGCCAGGCAGTAGAGCAGGTTTTAAAATCAGTTTTATATTTGTTTCCAATATTCATCAAATGAGAATGAATTAAAAAGAAAATGTATTATTTTACCATTACCAAAACATGCCTTGTAATTTATTTTTTGTGGAAAAGATTGACCCAATGTCCACTGCAAGCACATGTTATAAAAATAAATAACATTTTTGAGTAAAAATCTTAAAACCTTTATTCTTCCACATCTCAGGAACTATTTATTTGTGGTTTTGTACTTTTGTTAGAGTCTTAGATAATATGGCTTCAGTTCTGGGGAGGTCAGACCTCAGTCACTGCACAGTTTTATAGGATTATTCCCAAAAATCCCCAGCTCATACAGGATGGACAGAGTGGCAAAGAGGATGTAGCAGAAAAGAGAAAATATTCCCAACTTCCAATCCAACTTCCAGCCGTTAACATGAACGGCTACAAAAAGGAATACAATGGAAAGGAGGAGCGTGGAGGAAACGAAGACCAGTCCGGTACTGTTGACCTCTACAGGGTTGTTGGTGTCCACAAAGGCAGTCTTGATGAACCAAGGCAGGCCCAAGCACAGCATGTCGAAAACATTAGAGCCCACTATGTTGGACATTGCCATGTCAGCTTTCCCTGACAAACAGAAGCATGTTTACATACTGATTAAAGTCTCATTAACACAGAAATATTTAAGGTAATTACTTGTCATGGCGGGTGGGGAAATGAGTCAGCAAAGTGAATGATTAATCAATAATTACTACTAAAATGTCTTTTAGCAAGAGAGCACAGTGCCTAAGTACTGGTAGATGTTTTTTGCATCTACCACATTTGGGTATTAATCACTGGTTTTACTTATGAAGTAGAAACTCAGCAAATTACGATTCATTGTTGAATTTTGTTAAATAGTTTAGTCAAACTATATCCAGGTCTGTTGTGAATTTCAGCTGATAAAACATTACACTGATGCTTACCTTCTCTGGCCACTATCACACTGGCCACAGTGTCAGGTATACTGGTTCCAGCAGCAAGCAGAGTGAGGCCCATAACTGTATCAGGGATGCCAAGGGTCTCACCTGTGTAAACATAATAAGAACCCAAAATCAGAACCCTCTTCCAACAAAATCAAGCTAAAGAGAAAACAGCAGCAGGTTAACTGAAGCTATAGGGTTAATATATTATCTCGAAGCAGGGCTGTAACCAGGATTTTAGAAATACTGAGGTCATAAGACCACTTTCCCCCAGCAGAACCCTAGCCACCTAAGAAAATGTACTCAATATTTATTCATAATGTGCTTGTGTCAGGTATCAAATTCTGGTGGAGACCAGATTCCTTACAATTTAATTTATGTAGTTTCTTGCCTAAAAACGGTCACATTTATAATATAATAATATATTATAATGAACCTTGCAAAGATCAAAAGGTGTAATATGTGGGTAATCCTATAAAAACTAGTTCTAGTTCTAGTAATCCCAAACTCCTTTTTAGGGCTGCCCCGACTAAAGATTTTGTCTTTTTGTCTCAGGGCAGGCAGATAACCATGATTTAGACGACACTACTGTCATTAGTTCAACCTATCAGTCAAAAAGTCGTCACACGTTTGTGATATTACTTATTTAAATATATACTTTTGGGGCATCATAAAATGGTTTGAGTTCCAGGGCTGAGAAAGACTCGTTAACACTGTGCTACATTACAGAGAAATATGAAACTGCAAGCTTTTAAAATATACATTTTAGATGCATGCATGAAGCGAGCCGCCTGTTAATGAGAAGCGGTACTTATTCTGAATGTGTCGGAACAATCAGCTTGTTATTTTAACACAGTATAACATCACACAAGTCTTTTTCAAAACACGATAATGAACTTAAACTTGAAAAATAACTTATTACTTCACTACTGTGAACAAATGGACTGCCTGGAGTTTAAGGTTTTAGTCGCCTTTTTTGCGACTACCCAACAACTGAACAGTTTGTTGTCAAGGACTCATTTCATCGACATCAACAGTTTATTCGACTGTTAGGGGCAGCCCTACTACTTTTAATGTCATTATACACCCTATAGAAATATTACAGAGGACATGACCTCTGTGATAGCTATGATTGACTGGAGGAAAAATATTTTAAGTTAAGCTCCACTGGTACCCAAATATTAACCACATATAATGCCTGCGCATTGCAACCTTTCTTGAGTTCTCTGAATCGCTCAGTATAAATGTTGTTAAGTTGCTAACAGAGCAGAGCCACAGGGAAACACTCAATCACATACTGTATGTTTTATTTATACCTGCTCGGTCCCATGCCTGCTTTTTCTAAAGCCTAAACTCTACTTCCATGTGAGCCTATCTGACGACTACAGGATAATAATCTCATTATACTTCTGTAGACCTACCACCGTCACATGATGTAGTTGCTGTTTAAACCAGTTTACATCTCTGTTGTAGGTGGTTGTGTTGGAGGGGGGCTTAAGCTGTTCTTGGGCCTGATTCCGGGGGTAGCTCTACAAGCAGGGTTCACATGACTGTTTCCTTAAGGGTGAACAGGGCCGTAATCCTGCTGTGGCTGGATATGCGCATGGCCCACTGGAGCTACAATAACAGCCCTCTTAACTTTCCAGGACAATGGCATCTGTGGAATTAGCCAGCAGATCAACATGTGATTCTACTCTGCAAATCAGACATTTTTCTTCGAGCACTTGTGATCCACAAAGGCTCTATAACCCGGTGTGTGACAGTATGATTTACACCTGCAACTTAACTGAAAAGACTAAAGAAATGCGCAGATTTTACAAAGTTATAACAAAAGTTTAAACTATCATCTTACCAACAACAGTGACCATCCACACCATTATGTATGTGAAACCTGTGATCCAGACAGCTGACATGAAGAAGGTTAACATGTACCATCGCCTCCACAACCTTCTCCTGCAGTCAGGGACGGTCAGGAAAAGCACAGTGATGACGGGCAGAGACAGAACCCAGAGGATGCGTTTGAAGTCGCTCTCTGGCACGGCAAACACACTTTTATGCTCTGCTGGGATGGAAGGTTCAGGTTGCTTTATTTGTACCCGTATGTAGATCTGTTTCTCTTGGACAAGCCATCCTCACATTTTAGAAACAATACAGACAGTCGACAATAGATAAATATAATTATAGTATACAAGGTTATAATCATCACTAAAATAAATAAATAAATAAATGTTGCTTCTGCATCATCTGCGCAACTTGTTCTTCTGAGCAGACAAGCATGTTTATGAGTACATTTGTATCACATCATCAGTGGTCATAAAGGTGAAACTCCAGTTGGAGACATTATGTTGAAAATACCAGAAAACAGTGCACTTGTGTCAGTAGGAAGAGTGTTTTACCTTCAGGAATCTCAGTGAGACCATGCAGGCTGAGGGACAGTTGAGAATATCCTGAGTCCTGGAAGATCCCACTGTCTGTTCTGGAGTGATTGTGGACTCGCAGACTAGTGTCAT